CGCCGTGGGCGCTCGGGAAGGTGCGGGACTGCTGACCTCCAATATTTCAACTCTTCTTCGGGTTCTTTGCTCAGATCCCCAAACTCCCACTTGCGACTATCGGGAAGAGGGTGACATGTGGAGTGGGGGGCTTGGGAGGATTGGAGAAGCAGTCACTCCTGAGCCTCAGGCAGGGAAGGAAGGCGAACTCCCTCCCCCTTACGCCCCTGGAACTCCATTTGTCTCTTCCCTCCCCTCCCAGCTCCCTGAATCCAAAAAGCTGAGCCACGCCGACCCCTTCCCCCACTGCAGAGAGGGCCACAAGCAGCCGGAGGGCGCGCAGCTGTCACCGGACAGACAACTGGCGGCGGGGGGGAGGCGAGGGTGGAGCGCTGGGGAGGAGGCGCTGGGGCTCCCGGGGACAGGCCTGAACAGTAGCTCTGACACTGTCAGGCGTAGAGCCTGGGCACACAGAGCTGTCCGCCTCAGGGACGCGTATTGCTCTTGGGTCTCCTAAAGGGAGTGAAGGAGTTGGGGTTCCCCTCCTCTAGGACGCACTGGCCCCAGGGTTTGGTGGGCTGAAGTCCTCCCCCAACCTCTTTGGTGGTGCTATGTGTGTCCCTCTCCTGGGGCTGAAACACAAGGGTCACAACCGTAGGAGGTGGAAATGGGTGAGGGGCTCTTCCTAGTTGAGGCTTTGCTGGTCCTTCCTCCCAATAAAGAGGACAAGGACGCTGCACTCTAGGATGGGTAGCAGATTTTCCTTCTGCAAAGACTGAACAAACTCATCTTTATATTTAGAGGATGATGTCTGCCAAGGCCGGGCAGCCTCCCAGTCCACCTTGGAGTCATCACCTACCACAGCCTGCAGGTTCTATTTATATCACTGATATATGGGGCTATGCCTTTCAGATTTTCTAGAAGGATTTGGAGCTACTTATGGTAAAGTGGAGTGGTGGTGGGGGGTCAGCAGAGGTTACCCAGTTGGTGCCTGTCTCTCTCTCTCTCTTCTTCCCTAAGTCAAGGACAGTTCTAACCTTGTGGAGGAGCAGTCTTTTGTGATGAAATCAGTGGCATGCTTTAAGGGGGTACATCAGTGACGTGGTGTGGGCCAGAACAGAATCACTCACTTTTCTGATGTGTTTAAGTGCTCCCAAAATAGTTGCAATTTCACATTTGGTAGCGGAACTCAGCAACTGGGACAGGTGTGGATTCTCTAAAAGGGGGATAGAAGCATATGTGACCCTTCTCTGCAGCCTGCATCACCGCAGCTCCTTCTAAAAATAAACAAGTATTAACAAAAATATTTTAGTAAATAAATGACTACGTTCCTAAAAACGATTAGTCAATTAAAAAAAAGGAGTTTGGTTAGTATAGGGCCTATTTGGTGAGTATAAATGCTCCTATGATTTCATATTTGGTTCTTCTGAGTATTCTGGAGAATAAGTGAATAATTGACAGAACTGTATTTCATTTTCAATATTCTGTGTCCTCCTGTGTCCGCGAGTAGTGGAGATACTAGAAAAAAAACACCTGGCAAATGAGCTACTTGTAATGTAAGGGGATTAGCTCCCGTTTGGGCCTTGCGTTCAGGAGACGTGCTGCCGTACATTGGATACCTCAGTGTTTCCTGGCATTCTAAAGGAGAATGGGATTGTCACTATTTTTCAAAACTCTTGCTCAGTTCATCTCTTACCTTTCCTCGCAGCAAGCTTTTCTAAGCTCAGTCTGTTATACTCAAACTCACACTAAAAGCTGACCGTGAATAAAAACACTCGCAAGCAAACAGAGGCCTGCTAGTACGGCAAACTGTGGGAGATGGGCCCTGAGGTGGCCAGTCCAGATATCTGCTCCCTGCCCAATGATTTGTGGCTGGTTAAATAGTCCCTGACAGGTCACCACAGGCCACCCTCAGTCTCATTCTTGTCTTGCTGCACTCTCATTGGCTTAGAGAATAGGCTGAATGAGTGGGAGGCAGAGCCACGTCTCCAAACATGTACGTTTAGGGGGAGCGCAGTGGTGCCCTGCACAGCCTTTTGAGAATTGTCACTAAATAAAGGCCAGCCATGTAGGGTATGCTAGACAGGGAGTTCCTGCTTCTAAGTTTTCAGGTGCAGCCTCAGCTCTTCATACCCTGATGGGGCGCTTCTGCTACCACAGCGCCAGTGTGTTCACACTTCCCTTCTCTCCAATAGTGCCCTCAACACTCCACACACCAATCTTGCTCAGTCCATCTTCCCTACTGTTTCCTATCAATTTAAACAGGAATTGGGAAAACACTTTGTAATATGCTTTCATGTTTTAATTAACCTTTTAACTATCTTAAGGTAAATAAGATAGGTATTATTCATTCCAGTTTTTTATTTTAAAGAAAACTGAGGCTTAATGAGCTAAAACACACCCCAGGTTCCACAGCAGCCAGTGGAGGAGACGGGCTTGGGCTGCCTCTCTCCAACCTTCCCCAACACTGGGTACAGTTCGAAACAACAGACCCTCAAGGAATCTTTTCCAACAATGAGCCACAGACATCCTGACATGAAAAGTCATGGCTTCCCCAGAAACTCAGCTTTGAGGGGCTGGCTGGCCACTCAGTTAAGAGACATTCCAGGGATGGGGCGAACAAGACAGACACATTCTCCTCACAAGCTACTTTAAAAGGTCGAGTTGGCTGGGCATGGTGGCTCATGCCTGTAATCCCAGCACTTTGGGAGGCTGATGAAGGTGGATCATTTGAGGTCAGGAGTTCAAGACCAGCTTGGCCAACATGGCGAAACCCTGTCTCTACTAAAAATACAAAAATTAGCCAGGCGTGGTGGCATACACCTGTAATCCCAGCTACTCGGGAGGCTGAGCCAGGAGAATCGCTTGAACCTGGGAGGCGGAGATTGCAGTGAACCAAGATCCCACCACTGCACTCCAGCTTAGGCGACAGAGACTCTGTCTCAAAAAAAAAAAAAAAAAAAAAGAAAAAAAAAAAAAAAGGTTGGATCAATCGCTGACAGTTAAAGAAAGGACTTGAATTTTCCACTTTTTCTTCCTCCTGAAGCTGGTGGTTTTTGCCCTCATGGCCACCTCTAAGAACCTGATGATTCATTGGAGCAGTGCCCCCTCTCCAACCTCCTTTATACTCAGAATTTCATGAACTGGTTAGCAGCTTCCATTCTGGAATCAAGCAGAGCTGCATTTATCTTCTCCACTGACTGGCTATGTAATCTTGGACAAGTCACTTTTCAGAAAGCATTCTCAGCTCACGATACTCCTGTTTTGAAGACTGTTTTAAGGATTAAAGCTAGGTGAGAACTGGAGGCAGTGGCTCACGCCTGTGATCCCAGCACTTTGGGAGGCAGAGGCAGGCGGATCACTTGAGGTCAGGAGTTTGAGACCAGCCTGGCCAACATAGTGAAACCTGGTCTCTACTAAAAATACAAAAAAATTAGCTGGGCGTGGTGGCATGCACCTGTAATCCCAGCTATTCCGGCTGCTGAGGCAGGAAATTGCTTGAACCCAGGAGGCAGAGGTTGCAGTGAGCTGAGACTACGCCACTGCACTCCAGCCTGGAAACAGAACAAGACTCTGTCTCAAACAAAAAAAAAAAAACAAAAACAAAAACAAAGAAACCAGGCGAGTACCTGAGAGATACGAAACATTCAGCACACGGTGCCATGTCTTGCTTCCAATGACTAAGGGCTTGGGGCAGCTGCACACAGTGTGGTGGCAGAAAAGGTGAGTAAAGAACGTTAGAGGTCACTGGCCTGCTCAGGACACACACATCAATGTCACTGCAACTGAGCAGGGAGAGTCAGTGTCATGGTCACTGTATTTGGAGGGCACAGACTTTTGTACAAAGATTTATTCTAGCATTTAAAATGGCAAATAACAAAACAAACCACTCAACCCATGTGTCTTAATTTTTAACAAACAGTGAGTGAGATACATTAAGAGGGTAAGGGCTGTTACATTAATTATGGTTCTGCCATGATAAAGTATCACATGGTCATTAAATAAACTGTATTCCGAAGAGTATTTTAGATCGGCATTCTCAAAGGGGGAAAACTTGGTTCTTAGGTAGTGAAAAAAATTCAGATAAAACAGTAATTTGTGGCTTCCAAAGCCACAGTATATTTAAAAGATAGTTGGCCAAATGCGGTGGCTCATGCCTGTAATCCTAGCACTTTGGGAGGCCAAGGAGGGTGGATCACCTGAGGTCAGGAGTTTACGAGCAGCCTGAATGACATGGTGCAACCCTGTCTCTACTAAAAACACAAAAATTAGCCAGGCATGGTGGCTGGTGCCTGTAATCCCAGCTACTCAGGAGGCTGAGGCAGGAGAATCGCTTGAACCCAGGAGGCGGAGATTCCAGTGAGCTGAGACTGCACCACTGCATTCCAGCCTGGGTGACAGAGCAAGACTCTATTTCTAAATAAATAAATAAAGATTACACTTTCATTGGGGTGGGAGGTGATTAGGAAAAACTGTCTAAAAGGCTCCCCAGGAGGAGTGATCATTAAAACAAAGGTCAAGAAACACTGGATTAAGGATACAGATAAATGTTCACAGTATCTCCCATGAGTAAAGTAAGTCACAAAATGAAAAAGCATATATAGTCAAAACCATTCTAAGATATATTTCATAATGGTGACTAAAGTTATTTCTGGCTGGTAGGATTATAGAGGTCTATTTTTTCTACAGTGTTTTTCTTAAAATTTAGAATTACATGTTATTTGACACAGGGTCTTAATCTGCCACCCAGGCTGGAATGCAGTGGTGTGACCATGGCTCTCTGTAGTCACAAATTCCGAGGCTCAGGTGATCCTCCCAGCTTAGCTTGCCAAGTAGCTGGGACTACAGGCACACATCACCACGCCTAATTTTTGTATTTTTTTTTTCAGGACAGACAGGGTCTTGCTATGTTGCCCAGGCTGGTTGTGAACTTCTAAGCTCAAGCAATCCTCCCATCTGGGCTTCCCCAAGTGCTAGGATTACAGGTGTGAACCACCATGCCTGATCCAGTATTATTATTATTTTTAAATGTATGTTGGCTTTTAATGAATGGATTTGTTCACATGGGTGTATATATTTTCTTTTCAGGCATTCTCAGGATAGAATGTCAGGAACAGGCAGGTGGGGCTACACTGTTTCTGTAGTGAGCCTCAAAATGTCCAGGTGCGTAGGATGTAGGTGGGTGACGTGTTAGGAAAATTACAATTCAGACCCTAAGGTAAAAAAATAGAAACACAGTTCAATCATTAAAAATGAAAACCCTCAAAGAGAGGTGTCAGTAGCCTTTACCTCACTCAGAAGTTGAGCAAGGTTTACCATGTATTTCCAGCTCTGCCACAATCCTTGACACCAATATGTTCAAGAATCCTCTACGAAAAGCCACTACCCATGCCTGCACACGCTCCCCTCTGCTTACCATCAAAAACAGCATTTTTCTCTTGTATTTTATCCAGGTCCCACGCTGGACTCTCAGAGCAGCACTTAAACACAGGCGTGATCACAAACCTCTTCCAAGTCAATAAAGTATCTCTTTCAAAGAAAATATGTCACATGGCACCTGTGTAATTATCTGCTACTTGATTTATATAAAAAAATAATTCTTTGATGAAGACTATGTTGTGAAACCAATTTTAAAAATTCTAGAGAAAAAAAATTATTCAAAATCCTAGGTCTTAATTTCATTTTTACTGTTAAAATAATGTTTAAAAATCTCAACCATTTGGATGCTATAGCTACTAACTACAAGATACAAAGAGAATGAAAATTAAAAGACTGAGCTTTAAATTCCCTTGAAATAAGATGACTCTACTTCACACCATAAGAGCAGTCGTTTTACATCCAGACAATCTGTGGGGTCTGAGGCATGATCAGTTTGGCTTCCCTGTGGTACCTTCTCATACACAGGAATCATTAGGTGTGCAGCAGCACACGAAGATGGTGGGAGCCTGTGTGACCCAGAGCACATTATCACCAGACAGCGTCCTACAGGTGAGACGTGAACACTGACAACTGACATCCATGTAAAAACAAAGCCTCATCTTACAATACAAGTACTCAGTGGTTTCTTACTGGCCATCTGACAAGCTGCTGTTCCTAACTTCTCTTAGTATCTTCCAACATGTTCCTAACCCAGACCCTCATGCTATCCTAACACGCACGCTACAAAGAGAAAAAGACCAGGCTGCTAATTTCTTCCCTTTGATTTTACAAACAGCTCCATTAACCTGCTCTTGCAAACATACTCAAGGGCTGGCCTTGCAGCCTGCTGGGAGAGAGGGCTTGATGCTGGACTCTGTGAATCCAGGAACAGGACTCTTCACCACGTTTAACTTCTGACCTTTTCAGCTGTTGGAGCAAGCTGGTTAGTGGGCATTTGACTGGGCCAAAGCGTGGACATGCCAGCAAACTCCCTGTCCAGGCTCTGGCCTTTATTTAAAAGCCAGATAAAACACTGAGTGAGCAATGACGCTGGTCAGGACAAAGCTCTGAGAGAACGGTGCCTTTTCGTCACATCAACTGCCACATTAGGAAAACCTATAATGGTTTCTAGTATCATTCATGCTTTTGACTAGCTAGGCAGACTGTGTGTATAGTCGGAATTCATGAAAGTCATTCTGAAAATACACGAGGCTGACTGAATCCTCATACTGAAAGATCAGAACTAAACTTCTCATCAACAGTAATTTATAGATAGGTTAGAAAACCACATAAATGTTTCATTCACTAAAATACTTTCATTAATACTCATTGTTTATATAGAAAAGTTTAAAAAGCTCCCAATGAGTTCATTAGTTATCAAACTCACATGAGTTAGACCCACTCTGCTTCGGTTTTTCGTCTTCATAAATCAGCAAAAGTTGACATTTATCTTGCTGTACATTTCCCATTAGTCCTAACTGAAACAGATACCACTCTAGATTCTCTATGGTGCACAGTATCTGGAGTCACAGCAATTTTAGAGACAAGCTAGTGCAATCAAGTAATTTTCAGAGTCACAGAAACTGAGGCCTAGAAGTGATTTGTGCATGTAAGTAGCTAGAACCAGGACAGAAACTCCAGAACCCGGGACCACATCAGAGTAAAAAGGAAGAGCACCGAGCACAGGAACAACAACTGACACATTTCAGGTGGAAAAAACAAATCGCATAACTGAAAACCAAAATTCCAGTTACATAACTGTTTTATATTAGCTTCCTATGTATAAAGCACAAGAACTCAGCTATATGTGTTATAAAATTGTACAAACTTGACCTGTTTAAGGCCAAAAATTTTCATAAGGACATACAAATTTCATAAATAATGGTCATTTTTAGAAAAAGTTATATTTGTCCCTGAACATAATATTCATAATTTGCTTTCAAAACAAACTCGAAGTAAGGATTGGACTTTAAGTTTCCAAGCTGATCCGCTTGTAGCAGGTCTTTCACTTCCGGTAAGTACTCACTGAGCTGAATGCCTATAAACACAAACACAGAAAGTCATTTTTCAATTATTATAAAGCTCTCAAATGAATTAAGATGATTCATGACAAAAACACCTGTGCTTCTATTTAAAATATAACGTCACTTGGCTGTTGGGAAATATTCTCTTCCAAATTCCTTCCATCTGTCAAACATACTTTCAAGTCTAACAATGTGATGTTCTTCACAGACGCTGCCTGACTGTTTTTCCTTCCAGTGGTCAAAATAGCCATTCTATTTAAAGTGTTTTAAGAAGATCTGAAATGTTTTCATGTATTCCCAAGCTTGAAAACAAGTATTTCAAACACTTATATGACCCCCTATTTAAGGAATAATTTAGTAGAAACCCTGTTATGAATGTTAGCTATAGTATCTCAAAATGTATTACAGTATAACTCTAAAATTAGATAGGCAAAAGAATAATTTTTTCACAAATGATTCATCCATAGAGCTGAAAAGCCAGTGAACATGAACTAAATGGATTGAGAGCTGTGTAGGTACAAACAAGTATATACGATTTTCTCATTTTACAAATAGAGAAAACTAGATGAAAAATTTCAAATTAATAGGCCAACAATATTTTATAATTTGTTACATTACCATAAGATTTTCAAAATCAAATAGTGGTTTAAAAAAAAAATCCTCAAAGGGCCTTGCATCATTTTTTGGTTATTTTTTTTTTTTTTCTCTTTGGTGTGTGTTTATCTCATTATCTCATCTAACACTTTTGGTTCTTTTTTTTGGAGACAGAGTCTCGCTCTGCTGGCCAGGCTGGAGTGCAATGGCGTAATCTCAGCTTACAGCAACCTCTGCCTCCTGGGTTCAAGTGATTCTCCTGCCTCAGCCTCCTCAGTAACTGGGATTACAGGCACATCCCACCGTGCCCCACTAATTTTTGTACTTTAGTAGAAACGGTGTTTCACCATGTTGGCCAGGCTGGTCTCGAACTCCTGACCTCAGGTGATCCGCTGCCTCCGCCTCCCAAAGTGCTGGGATTACAGGCGTAAGCCACCCCCAACCCCCAACTTTTTAAAAAAAAAAAGAGACAGGATCTCCCTATGTTGCTCTGGCTGGTCTTGAACTACTGGGCTCAAGTGATCCTCCCACTTTGTCCTCCCAAAGTGTGAGCCACTACACCTGCCTATATTTTTGTTTAAATAAAAGTTTCAGCCAGGTGAGGTGGCTCACGCCTGTAATCCCAGCACTTTGGGAGGCCGAGGTGGGCAGATCACGAGGTCAGGAGTTTGAGACCAGCCTGACCAACATGGTGAAACCCCGCCTCTACTAAAAATACAAAAATTAGCTGGGCATGGTGGTGTATCCCTATAATCCCAGCTACTTGAGAGGCTGAGATAACAGAATCGATAGAACCCGGGAGGCAGAGGTTGCAGCAAGCCAAGATTGCACCACTGCACACCAACCTGGGCAACACAGCAAGACTCCGTCTCAAAAAAAAAAAAAAAAAGTTTCTGCTATTCTTGTCCTATATAAAATTATGAGTTTTAATTTCTGTTTTTCACCTGTTTATAATCCACTAAGAATAACAAAAATTGCAAAGCTTCCCTTAAATATTAGCACTCAATATTTAGACACAATTTAGTTCTGTGGCATTTTTACAGCTATAAAAGGAGGCTAAAAATCTGAAAACTAATGCTTGGAGATCAGTGTGGATAATACTCCAAATGAAAGCTTCTTGGTTTTTTTTTTTTTTTTCCTTTAGACGAAGTCTTGCTCTGACCCCTCAGACTGGAGTGCAGTAGCACGATCTCAGCTGGCTGCAGTCTCTGCCTCCCAGGTTCAAGCAATTCTGGTGCCTCAGCCCCTTGAGTAGCTGGGGTTACAGGCATGAGCCACCACACCTGGCTAATTTTTGTATTTATAGTAGAGATGGGGCTTTGCCATGCTGGCCAGGCTGGTCTCAAACTCCTGGCCTCAATGACCCGCTCACCTCAGCTCCCCAAAGTACTTCTTGTTTCTTTTTGTTTCTAAACTAAATTTTAGAATGGATTTGTAAAAATATTTTAAAATTTGTTCTTAAGCATGATATAATCAATTTTTAGTAGGAAATACATAGAAAGTTGGTATCTCATTTCAAATTTTCAGTCTTCACAGAAGAGTTAAACTGCTGGGCATGGTCACTCATGCCTGTAATCCCAGCGCTTTGGGAGGCGAAGGCAGGCGGATCACTTAAGGTCAGAAGTTCCAGACTACCCTGGCCAACATGGTGAAACCCTGTCTCTACTGAAAATACAAAAAGTAGCCAGGGGCACACCTGAAGTCCCAGCTACTCGGGAAGCTGAGGCAGGAGAACTGCTTGAACCTGGGAGACAAAGGCTGTGGTGAGCTGAGATCGTACCACTGTACTCCAGCCTGGGGGACAAAGCAAGACTCTTATCTCAAAAAAAGAAAAAAAAATAGTTAATTAAAAAATTAAAGGAAATGATTACTTCTATCATTATAGACTGTCAGTGTCACAACCAACATTTGTGTCCCAGGTTTCCCTCTTTGCCCATTCTGAATCAGGATGGTGACTTAGCCCCTGTGGTCACCTAGAGACCCAGGAGGAGGATGACCACCTTGATACAAGCTCCCTGATGTGCAGAGGATGGGAAAAGGCCTTTCCTTTATTGTAAACACATCTAAGCTTGAGTATAAAGCTGTTTAATCCTAAACGTCCCTGTCATTTGATCCCATTACTCTACAATTTCTAAAACTGGGGAGTGACATTGTAATTTCCAATAGTAACAAACCACTTACCATCTTTTAAAAGTTTCTGTAAGATCTTCACAAATATGCTGTCTTTAGATACTTCAATTGGATCATCTTTGCCATCAGAACTGGACCAGCTAGAAAACAAAATCATTATGAAAGAAAAATGAAATCACTGATACAGCTGAAATAAATGATTTCTGTTTGCTATCATGGTTTTATTTTGACGGCTGTGGGGGATGGAGAATCTGATTTTGTGATACTGTTTCAAATAATTTAAATAAAGGTACTTTAGGTGTTGAATACATTGACAATTTCTACATTAGATATAAAATGTTACACTTCAGGTAACAAGCAAGAGAAGCCAAGGGAAACAAATTTTTAAAAAGAGGTTACACTCAAGGTAGCTATTGACTCAGTATAACCCTTATGTATTTGATTTCAAAAACCAAGTAGTGAGGTATCTTTCTGAAGAAAATTCAATTAGTAACACAACCAGTATGGACCCCAAAGTATGACTGACTGCAGCTGCGAACTCCTCAGCTCAAATGTTCCTCCCACCTCAGCCTCCCATGTAGCTAGTCCATAGGCATACATCACTTTGTGCCTGGCTCATGTTTTTATTTTTGTGTAGAGACAAAGTCTCGCTATGTTCCCAGGCTGGTCTTGAACTCCTGGGCTCCAGCAATCCTCCTATCTTGGCCTCCCAAAGTCCTGGGATTACAGGCATGAGCCACTGGATCCGGCCAGAAGCTTTCTTCATGTAGTTGCGACCATCTACTACTAAAACAAAAATACCAGACCACTGCTTTGTAATTGGTGGATATATCCCATATGATAACTTTAACATTTTTAAATAAGAAACTAAGACAAGGAATCTAATCAAAATGAGAGCAACCTTTGGTATGACTGGGATGGGACCAAAGAATCAAGCAGCCGGGCGCGGTGGCTCACGCCTGTAATCCCAGCACTTTGGGAGGCTGAGGCAGGCGGATCATGAGGTCAACAGATCGAGACCATCCTGGCGAACATGGTGAAACCCCGTCTCTACTAAAAGTACAAAAAATTAGCCGGGCATGGTGGTGCGTGCCTGTTGTCCCAGCTACTCGGGAGGCTTAGGCAGGAGAATTGCTTGAAACTGGAGCCACTGCACTTCAGCCTGGTGATAGAGCGAGACTCTGCTTCAATTAAAAAAAAAAAAAAAGAATCAAGTAGGCAGAAAGCTGGAAGCTTCAGAGACTGACCTCTAAGACCAAACTTAACAACAATTTTAACTATTTGAGAGTGATCAGAGAAGGGAAGAAATGCTTTAGTAAAAACAGCTCTTCTATAATTTTTTACCACAGGAAAAAGGAAAATTCTGAGTAGGAGAAGGCTTCTAGCATTCAAGTCCTGCTTTGCTTAAAATTCTTTTCCTGGAAAGAATTCATTCCTACAACTGATATTCTTAGTCTTTGCCATTGCATTTTAACATAAACACCATTTCCACAGGTGGAAGACCTCCTTTGTAGAAAGGATTTGATTACGAGAAAGTAGTACTTAATGCCTTAGAAAAGGGCGCTGACCTTCAAATTGTAGTAATTTAAAAAACAAAACAAAACAAACATAGCTTCAAGTTTCATTTGGCATGACTGGCCTTACTTCTGTGAAAATAAGGGATGTGTATTTCTATGCAAACTGACAGTCTAAATTTTAAAATCAAAAGTAGTGATTTATTAGAGCAATGGTCCTAAGTCTTTAATGTATTCTTTATTATTAAAATAAAGAAATAAGCTCAGGGCTAAGTAAACATTACGAATGGAACCATTAAAATTTTCATAATATATATGTTACAATATGGTTAGAAGGTTATAAAACCATTTGACATATAATATCATAATCTTCCTGAGATATTGTGAAATATATATTTAAGTCTTCTTCCTCACCCCACTTCCTGCTTTGCAAATCCTAAAATCCTTAGGATCTCCAGAGATGTCTCTTTTTTTTTTTTTTTTAATACTAATGAGTTGGCTGATAGCTGGCAACCCCCAGCTTGCTTCGGAATAGGGGCTGGTCACCAGAAAAACAAAGCATAATTACAGTTGGGACTTTCAGCCCTCTTCCTCAATATCCAGGGAGGGGACAGGGGCTGAAGGTTAAGTTGGTCACCAACTTTGATCAATCATGTCTACATAATGAAGCTTCCATAAAAACGCAAAAAGATGGGGTTCGAAGAGCTTCCTAATAGCTGAACATGTGGAGGTTCCTGGAAGGTGGAGGACCCACAGAGGGTTTGGAAGCTCCAAGCCCCTTCCCCCTCACCTAACCCTATGATTTCTTCATCTGTATTCTATGTGATACTTTCAGATCCATTAGAATCAGCATTCCCAGGAGATTAGGCATTCTTAGCCTCAGGATGAGACGGGAGGTCAGCAGGACTGGTATCACAAGACACAGGTCATAAAGACCCCACTGATAAGACAGGATGTGGTAAAGAGGCCAGCCTAACCCACCAAAACCAAGATAGTGGTCTCTGGTCGTCCTCACTGCTCATTATACACTAATTATAATGCATGAGCACGCTAAAAGATACTCCCACCAGCCCTGTGACAGTTTACAAATGCCATGGCAACGTTGGGAATTACCCTATACGGTCTAAAAAGGGAAGAAACCCTTAGTTCTGGAAACTTCATACCTTTCCAGAAAAATTCATGAATAATGCACCCCTTGTTTAAGCACATAATCAACAAATAACCATAAGTATATTCAGTCAAGAAGCCCATGCCACTGCTCAGTGTACAAAGTAGCCATTCTTTTGTTTATTTTCTTCTCTAATAAATTTGCTTTCACTTTCATCTGTGGACTTGCCCCAAATTCTTTCTTGCACAAGATCCAAGAACTCTCTCTCGGGGTCTGGATTGGGATCCTTTCTGGTAACAATATCCTTCATAATAAATTGGTAGGCTTGTCTCCCTGAGTTCTATGAGTTGCTCTAGCATATTAATCAAATCCAAGGAGAGGGTTGTGGGAACCCCAATTTATAGTTGGTTGGTGAGAAACATAGGCAAAACTACCTGGGCTTAGATTGGCATTGAAGTCAGAAGCAGTCTGAGCCCTCAACCTGTGGTTGTAGATAGTGTCGGGACTGAACTGAATTAAAGAACATTCAGCTGGTGTCCACCAACAGAACTCATTGGTTGCCTCGTGTGGGAGGTGGGAAATCCCAACACATTTGGTCACAGAAGTCTTCTGTATTGACTGTCGTATGGTGAGAGGAACGGAAACGTAGTTTCTATACTTACAAAGAAGCGACGTCATGAGCACTTACTTATCTCTCTGAAGAGCTTTGCAAAGGATCTCCAGTTTTAGATCACTTATATTTACATCTTCTTCCTTCACAACAAAAAATTCTGATTAAGTCCTGGCTTTAAAATAAATACACGCTTAAGTTTTCATTATGTTAATATTACATTCATAGAAGCCAATTAATACATATGAATACTTTCATATTAACCTGTGAAAGTGATTTCATCAGCAACCTTGAGAGGGGAAAGGTTTTTTTTTTTTTTTTTGAGATGGAGTCTCGCTCTGTCACCCAGGGTAGGAGAATAGTGGCATGATCTTGGCTCACTGCAATCTCCACCTCCCTGGTTCAAGCAATTCCTCTGCCTCAGCCTCCCGAGTAGCTGGGATTACAGGTGCACACCACCATGCCCAGCTAATTTTTTTGTATTTTTAGTAGAGACGGGGTTCGCCTTGTTGGCCAGATTGGTCTCGAACTCCTGACCTCAGGCAATCCACCTGCCTTGGCCTCCCAAAGTGCTGGGATTACAGGCGTGCTGCACCCGGCCTGAGGTGGGTAAGATTTTTAAATAAGGCAATGTAAAAGTCTATATATTTTTAAAATCTACCAAGCTACTTTCAATTGCATGGACAGGTAATAGAACTACTTATCCTACAGAATTTTCACTATAACCTACTGAAAGATAAACAGCTATTCTTAAGGTGAATACTATTAAGATTTTATATAAATATGTGTGTCTGTGTGTGTGTGTGTGTGTGTGTGTGTGTGTGTGTGTGTGTATTTTTTTTTTTTTTTTAAACAGAGTCTCACTCTGTCGCCCAGGCTGGAGTACAGTGGTGCGATCACCACTCACTGCAACCTCTGCCTCCTGGGTTCAAGCAGTTCACGGCCTCCCAAGTAACTGGGATTACAGAGGTGGGGTTTCACCATGTTTGCCAGGCTGGTCTCAAACTCCTGACCTCAGGTGATCTGCCTGCCTTGGCCTCCCAAAGTGCTGGGATTACAGGTGTGAACCACTGCACCCAGCCAGAATAAATTGATAAAGTTGCATATTAGATTCAGAAACTAATGATTTAATAAATTAAAGAGAAAATATATGTCAGGACTTTGAAAAGCAGTATTTTATATTTGTGCACCAAAAAAAGACATTCAGGAATGTGTGAGAATTATCATGAAAGGGAGTCTCTTGACAGCTTTTCTAAAGAGTTAAATACATTCTAAGGATTAAAGGTAGCTGAACCACAGATACAGTCTGTTTTGCTTAATTCATTTTCATGACTGACTAAAAGAGGTATTTCCCTCTTTTTATATACGTATTCAGTTGCTTGAGATCATCTCAAGCGATTTTACTTACCTCATCAATATATTCCAGCAAGTCCAAAGCTTTCTTGAAATCATATTCATTAGCTCTTCTATTTTCTTCACAGATATATAGCTATGACAAGTTAAAATAAGGTAGAAAATTATTGTATACAATCATATAACTAACACTAGAGACATGTGTGGAGAAAAGAAGTCATTATGCTTTGTAAGTAAGTTGTAGGGTTTTTCTTTTTTCGAGACAGAGTCTCACTCTGGCACCCAGCCTAGATTGCAGTGGCGCAATCTTGGCTTACTGAAACTTCTGCCCCTGAGCAGCTGAGATTATAGGCACCCACCACCACACCTGGATAATTTTTGTATTTTTAGCAGAGAAGAGGTTTCATCCTATTGGCCAGGCTGGTCTCAGACTCCTGACTTCAAGTGATCCGCCCGCCTTGGTCTCCCAAAGAGCTGGGATTTTAGGTGTGAGCCACCGTCCCTGGCCAGTTGTAGGTGTTTTTACAGTAAAATGTCTCATGTTTGGAAACTGTATTGCATCTACCTTAAAATAAACTTTTAAAAAATGCATATTTTAGGCTTGGCACAGTGGCTCATGCCTATAATCCCAGCACTTTGGGAGGCCGAGGTGGGCAGATTGGGGCAATATGGAGAAACCTTGTCTCTACAAAAAGTATAAAAATGAGCTGAGTATGGTGGTGCACACCTGTGGATCCGCTACTCCAGAGGCTGAGGTGGGAGGGTCACCTGAGCTCGGGAGGTCAAGGCTGCAGTGAGCTGTGGCGGTGCCACGGCACTCAAGCCTGACACCCCGAGCAACACTGAGACCTAATCCCCAAAAAAAAAAAAAAAAAAAAAAAAAAAAAGAAAAAAAAAAAAATTGAGATTTGCAATAAAAATAAAGCATACAGTTGACCTATATTTACTTAAAAAATAAAAAACACAATCAACATGTTACCAACACTTATCCCTGCTTAGATTATAGCTGACTGCATACTCATTTCTGTATTCTTCAAATTTCCTGCAATTTTTATGGTCAGAAAAATACTTGCCTTATTAAAAACATCAGTTTGAATTTTTCCTGTCTTCTTTTTCCAAAAACTATTTATAAGTAATTTCATTTTTTAAAAATTGTATATATAATCATTTAATAGCAACAATACTCAGACCATTTCAGAAAAAAAGCTATCTGCTTGTTTTCACTGTCTTACAGCACTTACAATACTTTATTTCATTGTTCTTAAACATCCTTTTTACTCCCTCATCTCTGAAGTCGAACTGTGGTAATAAAATTAATGATCTATCAGAGTAAAACTGGCACTACCTTTTTCTCAGTGATACATAACAGTGAGTTACAATAGACAGTATCTTACATTTCTAAATTAAATATATATTCTATCAGGAGAGGCTGTTGTAAATTCAGTTATAACTGGAAATCTGTTACTAATTATGGCTAAAATGGTAAGGTTTTTAAATTGTTTGCTTTCTTTTTCATACAGTTAGGGCAAATTTAAGGTGATCCTACAACATCACTCTGGCAAAGAGAAGCTTTCTGAGTAGCGGAGTTCAGGCTGCAAACGTACATAACAGCAGAACTATCTTCTTCAGGCTGCAGCCCATATTCCGGCTCTGCCCTAAGGGATGTGTTGGGTTGCAGAGGAAAGGGGTAAGGACATCACTGCTAGACCATGTAAACTGAGTTTCTTAATCCATTTTTCTTATAGGAGAGCTTGGAAAGTAATTTTGTGGGGGAAATAAAGTTATCTCATGGTATTTATTTGTCCTATACTAGAAAAGCAAAATATTAAGTAATTTCTCCTGGTCACCTGGATAAAGCACCTTTAAGTACAGGTGTATGGGGAGGCAGATGCTGATTAATTATTCTCTGATTAGCTTTCTGTTCCCAAGCAGCTTCCAACAACTTCTTTCTAGGGGAGTTTTCTGAAATGCAGGAAGTGGAAAGATAACTTCTCTTAGGAACTATACTACATGGCCCAAAAAACACCAACAATGTTTTGAGTTTAGGAAACAGTGTTAAGGATTTGAAAAGCACATACACCAATGAGTTGCGGTGCAGTCAATACTGGCATCGCACTGAGATTTAGCTGCTTCTCCGCTAGCAGCTGTTCTGGCAGGGTCTCCTGATGCAGCAGAAAGCGCTCTTGCTCAGCCATTTCTAGTATTCAAGATGAGAGAGAGAGAAAGAGAAAATGATGGAACTTTTACTTTTGCTCTCATTTTTTCTGTCATAAAATAAATCTGAATTTTAAAGGAAAGAAATAGTTCCAAAGGTAATCCCATCATTTTTCAATGATCTTAGAATGCTTTTAATTCTTATTCTTGATTGCTGATATTTACAACATATCCATGGTTTGCTCAAAGTCCTATGAATTATCACAGCAACCAGAAATAGGAGGGGAAAGAACAGGTAAGGAAATGTTCTACTGCTTGAAGAAGTTGGAGAGCAGACAGCTATTTCATGAGGTATAAGCTTTCTAAATGTGGGGATCTCTCAACCATATTTTGAAATTCGTTAAAATTTTTCCCACTGGAGTTTATAGTAAATAGCTACCCCTTGACCAACAAGGGGTACTGGGCCACTAAGCTCCCGTGCTGTCAGAAATCCCAGCATAACTTTTTAAAGAGATGGGGCCTTGCTATGCTGTCCTGGCTGGTCTCAAACTCTTGGGCTTGAATGATCCTCCTGCTCTAGCCTCCCAAAGTGCTGGGACATTAACTTGTGACTCCCCAAAAACTTACCTGCTGCTGCTGCTGACAGCTTCACAAATTTCCTTTTTCTTTTCTTTTCTTTTTTTTTTTTTTTTTTTTACAATGGTCATTAAGTAGATTCATTTATGTTGAAATGGGGATAACCACAACTGCAGACCTCAATCTGTGGTGTGTATCAAGCAATTCAGCTTCTTCTCATAATGTCACGACTTCCCTATGCTTCTTGGGAGCATGTCTGGCATCACTTAGTGGCACTTCATATAAGTCCCAAGGTGTTATTCAAGGTTTATGGTATTGCATTAAACACAGGAAAAAATTCTTGAGAACTATGAGATTCCTATTGCCTATTGCATTTTTTACTGGTAACACTTGAGCAAGTGGACACTTGCCCACAATAGCAATAGGAGGTGGCTACAAAATTATTAAAGTACAGCATATATTACAGTTAATTTTAGGCAGTTGTGATTTAATGCTGCATATTTACATTGTTTACATTTGCCTCCACTGTTAATGGCACCATGTGAGGTGTTTGTGTGCTGATAAATTTTAACTTTTTATAACAGATTTGTGTATATTATATGGTAGTAAATGATAAAAAAAAGATTACATATGTTTTATGTATTCATGACCTGTCTTTTTCTTAATTTCTTTTTTTTAAAATATTTCTAGGCTACATGGTCATACATGGTTATCTATGAGCTTTTTCATGTTGTTGAAAAATCTCCAAAATATATTCTAATATATTTATTGAAAATAATCTGCATATAAGTTTTCCCATGCAGTTCAAACCCATGTTGTTCAAGGGTCAACTGCAGTTACATTCACAAACGGAAATGATGTAAAAGCTACCATGAGCACATCAAGAAAAACAAGACCTGGATGGAAGAACAAATAGCACATCTCCTAAGCAGCAAGGGTTATCTCCATTGGATGAGGTCACAGGGGCTTCCGCTTGCCATAACCTCTCCAGGTTGCAGCCCATGACCTGGCTCCACCCCAGCGAATGTGCTGAGTTGCAGGGAAGTTTAAAAACTGCTATGTAGCCTCATAAACACAGCATTCTGTAATGCACAGATACTTTCACTCAAATACTGGCAGCATTCTGATCCTGGTTTTGGAAAAACTAAATGGAACATTTTTGTCCATTTCTATACCTAGAAAAACAGACTGGGAGGATACATACAAACAGTACCAGTACCACCTCTGGGGGGTGGGACTATACACAACTTATTTTTCTTATCACATTTTTTTCTACAATTTACACATTTTCCATGAGAAATTATTTATACGAGAAGAGTTATTTTTAAAAAGCCTATCCCCTCTGATTAGATACATCGTGCTAACATTCTGTAGAATCACTGAGACCTGCAAACGCTCCCACTGTGTTAAGAAATAAAAGCTAATAAGTGATCAAATGCAAAGCAGGGAAAAGCAAGAAATAGGAAAGCCCTGTGTTAAAATACTTTGATTAACATGATCTCTGGTGGCCAGGCTAAAATACGGCTTCCCTTCTCAGACTATCAGCAGTCCTATAGAATATAAACACACGTTTTCTAGAATAGGCACTACTAGTGCAAAAAATAAAAAGATTGAAGGAAGATTATCCTTCAATATTTTAAAAATAATTTTAATATCAATACTTTTAATAAAATTAATTATTTAAAATAGTTTTAGTAAACGGGGCTAATACCTATAATTTATTGAGTACTTAATATGTGTAAGCTATTTTTCTCAAGACAGTGTCCTCAATTCTTACAACTACCTTCTGTATAGATGAACAAATTGAGGCTAAGGCGCATTAATCAACTGTCCATGGTCACAAAGCTAGTAAGTTCTGGAGAAAATATTTGAAATCCCAATTCTTTCCACTATATCCACTCCCTCAAAAGGAAAAAAAAAAAGGCAGCAGTATAATTTAAACCCAGATCTTAGGCTGGTCTCTGTGGATACGCCACATAACCAAATATCCATATCCACATATACTTGATCCAAACCACATAGCTGAGATTCCCTGCTCCAATCTTTATTTTGAAAATTTCCAGGCTGGGTGCGGTGGCTCATGCCTATAATCCTAGCACTTTGGGAGGCCGACGTGGGCAGATTGCTTGAGCCCAAGAGTTTGAGACCAGCCTGAGTACACATGGCGAAACCCCATCTCTACAAAAAACAATACAAAAATTAGCTGGACATGTGAGCATGCCCCTGTAGTCTCAGCTACTGGAGAGGCTGAAGCAAAAGCAACACCTGAGCCCAGGAGTTCAAAGTTGCAGTGAGCCTTGATTGTGCCACTGTACTTCAGCATGGGTGACAGAGTGAGACCCTGTCTCAAAGAAAATAAATAATAAAAAACAGAAAAAGTCCAAATCTACAAAAAAATTTTAAAATGCCAAATGTGCACTTTAAATCCTTCAGCTAGAGTCTCCTGCTGCTAACACCTCGTCCCTTTTGCTTTCTCTATGTATATAGGTAATTATTTTTTATCATATGAAGGTTGTAGACATTATGACATTTCATTTCTAAATACTCAGCATGTATTGCCTAAAAACAAGGATGCTCAACCACAATACCATTAGCAGGCCTACAGAATTTAACATCAATACAGTTATATCATCTAATATTAAGTATATTCAAACTTCCCCACTTGTTTCCAAAACATGCACCACAACTGTTATGGTTATTGTGGGGGTGATTCGGGATCAAGAATCACACCCTGCATTTGTTTGTCCTGTGTGATGGCTCTTAGGTTCCTTTCACCTAAAACAGCCTCTACTTTTGTCTTTCATGTTGCTAAAATTTTTGAAAAGTCTGGGACAACTATATTATACAATGTCCTACCAACAGATTATGTCCGATTGTTCTCTTGTGATTGGAATCATGGAGAACATGTTGGCAAGCACAGGACACAGGTGATGGTAGTACACCGCTTCAGGAGTATGCAGAGTGAGTTTGTTTTGTGGTTGGTGACAGGGTCTATTAGGTAAGTCTACTGAGACTCCAAAAACAAGGGAATATCCTGTTCCCTGGCCCCTAAACTCAAAGTCTCAGCATCCTTTGGTGGTTGTAATAGTGACTTCACTGTGGTTGAAATAGTGACTTCTCCCATTCTTTCCACATTTATTGGCTGGCATTCTCCTGTAAAGAAGCATTTTCACTGACTCTCTCCCTTTGTGAAAATCACTGTAGATTCATGAATATTTTTCTTTTATAAACTGTGGGATATATCTTTTACTACCATTCTTTTGATGTTCAAATTGTCCCCAAACGTGATCAGTGGGAGCTGCTCAAGGCTCCTGTATTCTTTTAATGTTTCTAAATTAATCTTGCTTTCTGACCTAGTAAGACTCTCCAAGATCATTTCTTCAATAAGCTCTCATTTCTTTTACTGGAAAATGGTAGTCAGAAACCAAAATATGGAACCAGGAATACTCATGCTACTGGGTGTCACTGCAAAGAGCCAAGAAATATGTATGTATGTGTGTGTATATATACATAATAAAATGTATATATATGTGTATGTATTGTGTATATATACACACACACAAAATTTTATTTTATATATACACACATTTTATTCTCTTTCTACTGAGAGAGAGAGAGAGAGAGAGAGAGAGAGTTTTTTTTTTTGAGGCAGGGTTTTGTTCTGATGCCCCGTCTGGAGGGCAGTGGCACCATCAGATCTCACTGCCACCTTGACCTCCTAGGCTCAAGTGATCCTCTCACCTCAGCCTCCTCAGTAGCTGGGACTACAGACATGGACCACGACATCTAAGTTTTGAATTTTTTTGTGAAGACAGGTTCTTGCTAAGTTGCCTAGGCTGGTCTTGATCTCCTGGGCTCAAGTGACCCTCCCACCTCGGCCTCCCTAAATGCTGGTATTACAGGAGTGAGCCACCATACCCTAGCTGATGTATTTTTTTTAACTGATGCATAATAATTACACATATTTATGGTGTGCAATGTAATGCTTCAATACATGTATACATTGTCCAACGATCGCAGGGCAATTAGCATATCTATCACCTCAAACAAGAAAATATATTGTTTTTAAAAATCAGTTTCTCTCCAGTATTTCCAATTCAAATTCAATACTACAGAGTTCTTCACTGTCTCTCTATACTTGTATCTCCTTTCTCCTTGGTTCTAAAATATAATGCCACCATGCCTCAGTATCCACTGACAATTGGTTCTAGGACCCCTGGGAATACCAAAAAGCTCAAGTCCCCTATATAAAAATGGGTAGTTATTTGCACATAAACCATGTACAGTCTCCCATATACGTTAAATCACTTCTAGGTTACAATGCCTAATACAATGTAAATGCTATGTAAGTAGCTGTTAATACTGTATTGATTTTTAAAATTTGCATTATTTTGTTTTAATTTTGCATTATTTTTGTTTTAATTTTTTGTTTAATTTTGTTGTTGTAATTTCAATGGTTGTTAAATTATTTTTAATTCTTTTCTTCCCCAAACATTTTTGCTGTTTGGTAGGTCGAATCTGCAGATGTGGAATCCAAGGATATGGAGGGTCAACTGTACAATATGTAATTGTTTCCATCATCTACAATATACACAAAATAGTTCACAATTACTGCACCAATACCACACTACCTCTAACAAACCCACTGTATAAAGGTCAAGGTTGCTTTGTAGTTCTTTTTGCCCTTGGAATAGGTGTCACTAAGGGTACATAATCAGACCTCTTTATTGAAAATCATTTGAATGTATTCTTTAGGAATTATTTAAAATACAAATTACTTTTTTCTAAAAAAATTCTAAGTATATAATTGAGTAACTATACATGGACATTGAATAAATGCATTCCTCTTAGAGACAGGTCTGTTTCTAATAGATCCTACTAACTGATGACAGGAACACATCATGAGTTCATTGACAGCATGACCAATTTGTATATGTTCTTGTTCAAATTCTCCTACCTTCAATTTTTTCTTGCAGTATATCCTCCGAAAAGTCTGAAGCTAATGCAGCCAATTTACTCAAGCCAAGAAGGGTTTTTTTCTTTGCAAAGTAACGAGTTTCCATATTTGCCAAACCCAGAAGCGTTGCATGAGCCTACAATAAACAAAATATGTAAACCATCATAAGATATTGAGTACCAATTCAAGTTGAAACAAAGGTAAGTAAACCCCAAACTGTTTTTTTTTCCCCTAGGCCGTATCAATGAGAGACAAGTCAACAGTTAGCAAACTTAAAAACTGAGCAGTACCACAACATTGAGAGTAATTACAGAGCAAAATATCAACCAACCACACTAATTACTGGGAAGAGAGACATGTAGAAAACATTTGCTCTAAAAACAATTACATATTCACCTGAACATCTTGTCAAGAACAAATTTTAAAATTTTTTACTGATAATTTGAATATTTATTACAACAATATATTCATTAAAAAAAGGCCAATGGCTGTTACAGACCCATCATTAAATTTTTTGTGATTTTAACTATCATGATGGACTACGTTCCTTTTTTTTGGAGACAGGGCCTTGCTCTGTTGCATAGGCCAGAGTGCAGTGGTTCAATGCAACCTCCACCTCCCAGGTTCAAGTGATTCTCCAGCCTCCGGGTCCTGAGTAGCTGGAATTACAGGCATGTACCACCATACCTGGCTGTGTTTTGTATTTTTAGTAGAGACAGGGTGTCACCATGTTGGCCAGGCTGGTCTTGAACTCCGATATCTGCCCACCTCGGCCTCCCAAAGTACTGGGATTACAGGCATGAGCTACTACACCCAATCTGGACTACATATTTTTATTGAGATATTAGAAGTAATGGCAATACCATCACAAATTAAGAATGTTTTATGCAAATTATGAGAGAACAGTAGTACACATTCTAAATAATCCATAAGAAATGTTTTTAAATTAAAAAAATTTTTATTGTATACTGACAAATTGTAATTGTATACATTTACAGATACAAAGTAATGTTATAATATATGTATGTGATGTGGAATGATTAAATCAAGATAATTAACATGCCCCTCATCTCAAATACTTATCTTTGGTAAGAACATTTCAAATTTGTTCTCTTGGAAATTCTGAAATGTACAATATACTATTATTAACTTGAGCCACCATACTGTGCAATATATATAAAAAATCTTCCTGGCTGGGTGCAGTGGCTCATGCCTGTAATCCCAGCACCTTGGGAGGCTGAGGTGGGTGGATCGCTTGAGCCCAAGAATTCGAGACATGCCTGGGCAACACAGTGAGACCCCATCTCTAAAAATACAAAAATAAAAACAATCTTCTTCTGCCTAACTGAAGCTTGTACCCTTTGATCACCTTCTCCAGCCCTTTTGGCCATTTTAAAATTGGGTTATTATTTTGCAATCGACCTGAGTTCTGTGTGTGTGTGTGTGTGTGTGTGTGTGTGTGTGTGTGTGTCTATAAAATCCCCTCACCCTTCTACCATTCTTCTCTCTGCTTCCATGAGTTTAACTGTTTTGGGTTCCACATGTGAGTGAGATCATGTGGCATTTGTCTTTCTGTGTCTGGCTTATTTCATTTAGTGTAATGTCCTCCAGCTTCAACAATGTTGTTGCAAATGAATTTCCTTCTTTCTTCAGGCTGAATATTACTGCATTGTGTATTCTATATATAATACCTTCTTTACCATTTACATTGATCGATGGACACTCAGGTTGATTCCATAACTTGGCTACTGGGAATATGCTGCAATGAACATGGGAGTGCAGATATCTCTTCAACATACTGATTTCAACTCCTCTGTATATATAGTCAGAAGTGCGACTGCCAGATCATACAGTAACTTTTTGAGGAACCTCCATACAGTTTCCCATAATGGTTGTACTAACTTACACTCCCACCAAGAGTGCATCAGGGTTCCCTTTTCTCCATGTCTTCTCCAACACTTGTTAACCTTCATCTTTTTGATAACAGCCATTCAAACAAATGTAAGGTGATGTCTCATTGTGGTTTAAATTTGCATTTACCTAATGATTAGCGATGCAGAACTTTTTTTTTTCACGTATCTGTTGGTCAGCTGCATGTCTTCTTTTGAGAAATATCTATTCAGGTCTTTTGCCATTCATTCATTCATTTATTTTGGGACAAGGCCTCACTCTGTTACCCAGGCTGGAGTACAGTGGCACAATCTTAGCTCACTGCAGCCTCGACCTCCAGAGCTCAAGTGATCCTTTTGCCTCTGCCTCCCAAGTAGCTGGGACTACAGGAGTGCAACACCACACCTGGCTGTTTTTGTATTTATGTTTCCTAGGCCAGTCTTGAACTCCTGCACTCAGGAGATCCACCTGCCTTGGCCTCCCAAAGTACTGGGATTACAGGTAAGCCACCATGCCCAGCTTCCTTTTATATTTTGTACAGTAACCCCTTCTTAGGTGTATGACTATAACAGTATTTTAATTACTAAAAACTAAACTAATTAAAGCTACCTAAATAAATTGCACACATCTGCTCCATTTAAAAATCCTTCTTACCTTTTCTAATTCTTGGCTATTAATTTCATGTAACCAGCTGAGATGTTCATGAGCTTGCAAAAAATTGGCCAACTGTCCATGCTGAGAAATGGGCTGAGATAATAATTTGCCTCGCTTTCCTTTCTCCAGATACCAGCGGAAGAGAAAGTCTGAAAAATTCTATAAGTAACAGTACACAGAATTCATAATAGTTTTAAAAAATACATTTCTGATAACAAAACATAACTTTCTTCCAAAGGCCTCCAAAACAGAAAACCTGTTCTAAACAATAATTTCCTACATTGTAGGATCACTTAATTCAATCATCTCATTTGACAAATGTGTAAATTCAGATTCAGAAAGGCCATCTTGCTCAAGATCATTGACAAGATTAATCGCAGAATCTAGATGTGTGTTGGCCAATATGGTAGCCACTGGCCACATGTAGCTGTTTAAACTTAAATCAAAAATTAGACTAAAAGTTAAAACTCAGTTCTTCAGGTACATTACCCACATTTCAAGTGCTCAGTAGCCACATGTGGCCAGGGACTCCCGTTTGGACAGTGCATATCAACATCTCCATTATCACACAAAGCTCTGTGGGACAGCACTGAGATTCCAGAATTCTGTGCCAGCTAGCCACATGGGCTGGCATAATACATCAGAATCTAGAAAGGCCCAAATGCCCTGCCAGTTTTCCCCACTGGGTTTGTGGAGTGTTGGGGTAGTGTGGAGGCTGAGCTGGAGAGGAAGACCAAGACATCCTATAGTACCACAGTGTTTAGTAAGAGATATTTCCACTAAAGCAGGGATCCCGCCATGAATACAGGTGTCTCCCCAAAAGACTTCTGAAACCAGAAATGAAATGAGTATTATACCAGCTGAGACCAAGTCCTGGTCCACCTCTATTCCTAATGGACTGAGTCATCTTCCTCTCCTCTAAACTGCTTAATAGAGAAAAAGGAAAACCTGCCAGGGGACAAATAACATCGATTTCCATATTATGGAGTTTTAAAAATATACAATGTCTAAAATACAATTTAAAAATTATCAGATATAAGCAGAAAAATAAGCAACATAAAAGCAGGCAACAGAAACAAACTCAAAGATAATCAGAGTAAGGAGAAAAGGACTTTAAAATAACATTTAAACATGTTAAAATGCAAAAATGAATAAAAATGTCAAAATAGAAAGTAAATCCACAAAAATAATTTTAAAATCATGATCGGTGCAAAACTTATTTATCTATCTATGAGACAAAGTCTTGCTGTGTCGCCAGGCTGGAGTGCCGTGGCGTGATCTCAACTCACTGCAAACTCTGCCTCCTGGGTTCAAGTGATTCTCCTGCCTCAGCCTCACGAGTAGCTGGAATTACAGGCATGCGCCACCAAGCCTGCCACCAGCTAATTTTTGTATTTTTAGTAGAGACAGGGTTTCACCATGTTGGCCAGGATGGTCTCGATCTCCTGACCTCATGATCCACCCGCCTTGACCTCCCAAATTGCTGGGATTACAGGTGTGAGCCACTGCTCCCAGCCACAAAAAATATTTATTTAGCAATGTTTTGAAATATTAAATGAGCCACGTCCAACAACTGAGCTGTTATTTATTTATTTAATTTTTAGACAGAGTCTTGCTCTGTTGCCCAGGCTGGAGTGCAGTGGCGTGATCTTGGCTCACTGCAACCTCTGCCTCCTGGGTTCAAGCGATTGTTCTGCCTCAGCCTCCCGAGTAGCTGGGATTCCAGGTACATGCCACCACGCCTGGCTAATTTTTGTATTTTTAGAAGAGACAAGGTTTCATCCTGTTGGCCAGGCTGGTCTCGAACTCCTGACCTCAGGTGATCCGCCTGCCTCAGCCTCCCAAAGTGCTGGGATTACAGGTGTGAACTACCTCACCCAGCCCAACAACTGATCATTGATCAAGTAAGTCACATCTAGTCAATGAAATACTATAATGCCATTAAAAATGCTGCTGTAGAATATTTAATGACATGAACAAATGTTTGCGATGTATCAAGTGAAAAAAGCAGTTGACAAAACATGTTTGTCTATAATAGAGTGTAAAAGACTGAAAATATAAACCAAATGTTTAAAAGGGTTCTCTCTGGGTGGTGAGTGAGTTTTATCTTTTGTGTTTATAGTGGTTTTCTAAATTTTATACAAAATTACATTTACAGTAATACAAAAATAAGCTTTTCAGAGTAATCAACTGACTGAATAGACTGGTTTTAAGAAACAATTTAAATTCACTTAAGACAGTGTCACAATGGGAACTTTTTTTTTTTAAGATATGGTCTTGCTCTGTCGCCTAGCTATGGTGTAGTGGCACAATCTTGGCTCACTGGCCTTAACCTCCTGGGCTCAAATGATCCTCCCGTCCTAGCCTTCTGAATAGGTGCTGCCACAGGCATGTGCCGCCACATCTGGTCAATTAAAAAAAAATTTTTTTGTAAAGGGAGGGTCTCATTATGTTGCCCAGGCAGGCCTCAAACTCCTGGCCTCAAATGATCCTACCGCCTTGGCCTCTCAAAAGTGCTGGGATTACCAGTGTGAGCCACTGAGGCTGGCTGGGACTTTGTTTTTTTTAAACAGGAAGCATAATATCCCTCAAGGAAAATGAGAATATTAGGTCTATGTAAGCTAAGCTCTCGTAAGAGAGTACTGTTCTGTGCTCCAAAGTATCTTCTATCCAATTTTTAAAAACTTTACCAATATTCATGTATCTAAGTACTTTTACTGTAACTAGAAAATATATAAACAGAAATGAAAGTTATAACATATTTTCCAAAGGCCAAAGAATCTTTCAGGGATATTTATATATAAAGAACTGTGTGGTCAGGCAGTGGCTCACATCTGTTATCCTGGCAATTTGGGAGGATGAAGCAGGAGGATCGTTTGTGCCCAGGAGTTCAAGACCAACCTGGGTAACATAGCAAGACTTTGTCTCTAGTGAAAAATAAAATTAGCCAAGCGTGGTGGCGAGCTCCTGTGGTCCCATCTACTGGAGACGGGAGGTGTGGGAGGGGGTGAGGTGGGAGAAGCAATTGGACCCAGGAGGTTGAGGCTGTCATGAACCATGATCTTGCTACTGTACAAAATTTACAAAGAAATGCAACATACAAAGTAGTATCTTCTCATCGAAGTTAACTACAGAAAGACTGCATCATATTCTAAGCCCTGATTACAGATTTGAAATGGCAAAGCCATTTTGAGAAAAGGCCACTAAAGGACTCAGTGGCCACACACCCAACGCCCATCACCTGATCAGCAAACTGGGTCATGTAGCGCTGGAGTCGGCTCTGGTTGTCAGTTTGCTCACACATTTGTACCAAGATATCAAAGTCACAGTATTTCTCTGCTAGAGAAGCAGCCCACAGGTACTGGCCTAGAGTAACTGAGGGAATGAGAACAGATGAGAAAAAAATCCTGTTAGCAAAACTTAAAATCTATAATAAAAAATATTACTTGAAATTTTGTCTTTATTCCTATTATACACAAAGAATCATTAATAGAATGGAAACCTTACTACTTACTGGCACTTAATTTCACAATTAACATCAATTCCTTAAAGATGCAAACTCAGGCCAGGCACAGTGGCTCACACCTGTAATCCCAGCACTTTGGGAGGCCGAGGTGGGTGAATCACCTGAGGTCAGGAGTTCGAGTCCTGCCAGGCCAACATAGTGAAACCCTGTCTTTACCCAAAATACAAAATAAGCCAGGTGTGGTGGCACATGCCTGTAATCCCAGCTACTTGGGAGGCTGAGGCAGGATAACTGCTTGAATCTGAGAAGCAGAGGCTGCAGTGAGCAGATTATACTGCCACACTACAGCCTGGATGAGAGAGAGTGACGCTCAATCTCAAAAAAAAAAAAAAAAAAAAAAAGATGCATCACTGCCTCCCCAAAATGCTATTCCTTTCCTTCATGTAAGAGTAAAGCAAACTCCTCCCAATCCTGGCCTGGAGTATAATGTGTCCTTGGCTGAACAGCCATACTATCTTATCTGTACCCCTCAAGCGGCCCTCATCAGGCTCTACTTTGAATCCAGTTATTCATGTAAAGGTCTGTGATGCTAAACTCTTTAAGGGTAGTCTCCACATGTTGTTTATTTATTTACTTATTAATCACCTTTAGTATCATCTATGGTACTTGTGCCTAGATAGTAACGGAAAAAAAGGTGAATAAATGAGCACAGAAAGCTGTGCATATTTGCTTTGCTTTAAGTTCTTTATTACAGTTAGATTAACACTACTACACTGAATATCATGCATTAACTATTCGACCCTTTCATCCATTCAGCAAATTTAAAACTCTTGCCAAGTATCATGAACTTACGAAGAGGAGATAAAAGATCTGATCTTTTCTGTAGGTATTCCATCTCCAGATTGTCATATCTTTCCTGATTACTGGATTTATCCACAGACTTAAGCTGAGAAACATAACCATCTAGGAAGCAATCGATCAGTGCTACCAGTTGCTCAGTCACGATGTTTCGGAGGTTGCTGTCTGCCTGTGGATAAACCACCTTCAGGACAATCTCATGCTGGCGCATTATTACTGTTCGGATGCCACCAGGACCACTGGTTGCTGTGAAATGACACAAAATAATATGGTTAAGTAAGGGCTCTAGTGATGGCTAAAGGAAAGACTAATTGCATAAAAATTAAGCCTCTTCATCACTGCTGGAAAATTAAATTGAACAGGGATTCAGGTATACTTGTCAAGGCCCTGCTTGAACCCAACTTCTCTAAGGAGATTTCCTCAGCAAAGCCAGGTAAACATGATTCTTCTTCCTCCTAAATTCCTTCAATCCTACTCCACTTACTTGCTTGTATTAAATTAACATAAAATATAGTCCATAACCTCCAGGGCCAGGACCTGCTTCTATGAATAACTATTTGAGCTAAAACCTAATAAATGCATAAGTACCAGTTAAATAAATAAATTATAGAGAGATCTATAAATAAGAGCAACGGAAGAATAAAGTGATTGTGACAGGAGCTGCTCACTGTGGAGATGGCACTTTTCCTTTCACTTACAAACCTACACCAGGGGAATAACACAACTTCTAAAAATGATGGGTCACTAGAAATACATTTTGAACAACTGTTAATAAATCAGTATATTACCCGTCCATGGAACATATTCAGGTTCTTTCTCTGGTGGTTCTTCTTTTCTATACAAAGAGTTTCTATTTTGGCGATAATGACTAGCAGCCTGCAGCATATCCTGGAATAAAAGTTAATGCAAAAAGTGATGAATTACAGTATTCCCCAAGATAATTTAAGACAACAAAGTAAGTTAGTAAGAAAAAATACTCAGAGGCCAGGCATGTTGGCTCACACCTGTAATCCTAGTGCTTTGGGAGGCCGAGGTAGGAGGATTACTCCTAGACTGACAACACAGTGAGACCCCATCTCTACAAAAAATTTTAAAGATTAGCTGGGCATTGTGGCATGCACCTGCATTCCCAGCCACTTGGGAGACTGAGGCAGGAGGACTGCTTGAGCCCAGGGGGTTGAGGCTGCAGTGAGCTATGATCAAGCCACTGTAAACCCAGTCTGGCAATAGAGTGAGACCACGTCTAAAAAAAAGAAAAGGAAAGGAGAGAAAAGGTCAGCACACATCTGTATGATTACTTTTTGATTCTTTCTGCTTTTAAAGTTTGTTTTACTCCACAATTTAACTTCTTTTTTGGAAAACAATAGTAACCAAAGTAGGAAAATCATTACTGTAAGTCCAGTAGCTAAAATTAAAAGGAACATTTTAATAATAAAAGTAGCAAGATTTTGAATAATTAAAAAAATAGAAATGAGAAATATGTAAACAGTTACATTAAGAATACATTTGCAATCAGGCATGGTGTCTCAGGCCTGTAATCCTAACACTCTTGGAGGTGGAGGCAGAAGGAACTTGTGAGACCAAAAGTTCAAGGCTATAGGGAGCTATGATGGTGCCACTGCACTCCAGCCTGGGTGACAGTGAGACCTTGTCTCTGAAAAAAAACTAATCAAACAAAAAAAATTGCAAAGATACAAACATACCTTCCCAAATGAAAGGTTTATTGTTGTACCAAATAGGAACTCAGGATTATAGAAATGTATTAATAGGCACCAGGCTAACATTCAAAATATTCATTAACTGATTAAAATGACTGACATTTTTCTAACTTTTTTGGGATTAACAAATGTCTACAACCTTATAAATCATTGGCAATACAGAGTAGGAATATGGAAACCACTTCCTTGTCCATCCATGCTCTGGGCTTTGATTTGCTGAAACCTTTCCCTTATTTTTGTACCTTGAGAATATTGTTCACGTTGATCACCACTTCGGCCCATTCAACGGAATCCAAAGGTGTATCCCTCAAGACTTGCTCCTCATGCTCCAGTAAGCACTCACAGATGGTGTCTACTTGGGATACCTGAGAGAATACACAGAAGTCAACTACTTACAACAAAAATTTTGGTGATGGGTAACAACTACCCACTGAGTTTTACTCATTAAGCCATATCTTCAGACCTATAGATGAAGGAAACTTTATTGACAGTTGATGGTCAAAATAAATTTAAAAATCAAGAAAAGTCAGATCTACTAACTTTTAAAAGTTACAGTGCCCAAATAACTAAGTCTTATAAACAGGCAAATTCTGAATTGTTACCAAGTAGATTTTTTTATTTAAACAATGATATTATTTGTTTATTACAGCTACTATGCTCAGTGCACCTTTAAATAGCATTAGGTTACAGATGACGTCACTTCACAATGTAAGACCTCAAACTAATGAACTAATAGATTAAAATGACGTCAAAAATGAACTTGCTAATTTCTCTGAGAATTCCCCTTTTTCAGACATAACAGAAACGTTTGCAGAATAGAAGCAACATAAGAGAATAATGAACTAAATACATAACTCCTAACTCTTCCTTTATTAACACATAAAGATAACAGTACAAATATATCCTCAGGCACTGAAACTCTTGTTTCAAGTTCAAGTCTGCATTTAAGCCTTCCCCCTTTATTTCGAGTTTGCAAGGCAATGGACACTCAGAGATAAGAAAGAAAAGCCAGATTAGATGCCCTCAAGGACCTCACAAACTAGCTGAAAAAAATAAGATACACAGGCACAGATAAAAGATGACCCAAACAAAATCCCTCCCTTTTGCAAACCTTGTTCTTTCTTTTGCATTTCTGATGTTAGCCAAAGGCATCCTAACAGCCTAGGCAAGAAATCTTCAGCGCATTTAATTTGTAAGATTAAGTGTAAGAATATTTTACATTGTTAACATGAAAAACACAATGAAAGCATAAATAATGGCCAGGCGAGCCTGTAATCCCAGAACTTTGGGAGGCTGCGACAGGTGGGCCATGAGGTCAAGAGATCGAGACCATCCTGGCCAACAGTGAAACCCCATCTCTACTAAAAATACAAAAATTAGCTGGGCGTGGTGGCACATGCCTGTAGTCCCAGCTACTTCAGAGGCCAAGGCAGGAGAATCACTTGAACCGGGGAGGCAGAGGTTGGTGCAGTGAGCTGAGATCGTGCCACTGCACTCTAGCCTGGTGAAACAGTGAGAATTCACCTCAAAAAAAAAAAAAAAAAAAAAAAAAAAGAGAAAAAAAGAAAGCATATATAAAAGACAGAAAATAAAGAGCATAAAATGCCAAAACACTTGTTAAATTCTCTTACCATGCATATATTCAGTGATTTCAAATATTGCTCATATGCCATGCCAGCATAGTCTATTCCTTAAGCAGTAAGCTCTCTGCTTTTCCAGGGCCCTGGGAGGTACAAGCCCTTCCCAAACTGGAGACAGAGGCAAAGTGGAAAGTGTACCCTCAGGCAGGCTCTATATTGTTTTACTTTCTATCAGGGCTGCCAAATCAAAATATCTTTCTATATGGCCCACCAATCAGAGATTGATTTCGGTTAACCAGCTTGTCCCAAAACATAAATAATCTTTAGAAAGGTAAGTAGTTGTCACCCACAAGTGGAAGGACAGGTAAAGAGAAAGAAAAATTACTATATGTATGTATTTGTTGTATTGCCTTTTCATGACGGTTATGGCATGGGAGAAGACCTTTAGAACTACATCCCAGAGAAACTGAAGACCAATGAACATCATGAGAAATGATGATAAATGGTGACATGAGCAGTCCTAAATATTACGATTTTTCATAGGAAACATTCTTTTGAGAAGCCAATCACATTTTTAGTTATGCTGTATCATACTCCTAAAGACTATTCCTAAAGTAATATTCTATATTATGTATCCAAATGATAATTTCCAGACCCTTCTCTAATAATTTAGCTAACTGAAATGTGTGCATATACTGAGCTGACAATTATGCTTTGCCCTTTGATCCAAATGCAGAATGAACCAGGCTCTTGCCTTTGTTCTTACAAGTAATCTGTCATTAATAATTTTTAAAAACTCATTGTCTTATATAAAATTATATGTGAATAAAGACCAAAAAGGACACAAAAATGACAACAATTTGATTTGTTAGATCATGAAACTTGAGGTGATTCATTTTTCTTTCTTTCAGATTTCTGGCATACTTCCTAGATTAAAAACAAAACATAACAGAGTGCTTTTCCTTCCATTCCCTAGAAACTAACTCAAATGTATAAAAACGAAGAATTCAAACTAAACACATTTATGGAATCAACAGAAAGACTGAACTTAGGTTACAGTCCATCAAACATGAAGAAAAAAAGGACCTGTCAGCACTGCGTGTTACATGCTAGAATACAGTGAGGCTATAGGAGGAAGGAAGCAAAATTTGAGACACCAATAGAGTCTGAAGTTCCTCAAATGTGTAAGAAATTCCAAATTTCACAGAGCTGAGGGAAGAGCTGGCCCTGTTTCTAAAATCGGATAATTCTGCAGTCGCAGTTAAGACAACAGGTCTAATTCCTAATGTCACACCTTTAAAGGGAGACAGTGAAGTCTACCCTACTGCTTCAAAGGACTGTGAAGCCTCACAAAAGCGCAAGGACTGCCTTACTATTTCCACAATGTCCAGCTGCCACTGGCTAACCAGCATCTTAACCATTTTTGTCTTTGAAATTTATAGCAGGCTGGGCTTGGTGGCTCACGCCTGTAATCCAAGCACTTTGGAGGCCAAGGCGGGTGGATCACCTGAGGTTGAGAGTTCAAGACCACCCTGACCAACATGGTGAAACCTCGTCTTTATAATATATATTAAAAAAAAAAAAAGAAATTTAAAAAAAAAGAAAAGAAATTTATAGCAGACTTTACTTTTTCTCTAAAAATAAATTTGATTTTACAAGCAAGGTGTAGCAACGAGATCCTAAGAGGTAGCTGAGGAATTCAGTGAAGGGACTATTTACAAAGGTATGGGCAAGATTAAGGGGTCCAACAAGGGATGGGGCAGCACCCTAGGGTGAGCCATTATCAGCCTCAGGCCTGAAGAGTCAAGAGGAGGGGCAGCTATTGGAAACACAGAGAAAGCAGCTGGACAAGAGGCACTGTCCCTGACAGACGGGCTCAACCAACGTAAAGTGGGCAGAGGCAAGGAAGAAAGCTGGGGGAATAATTACTCCAACTTCTGGCCTTCTGGCAGGGCCTCACATTCATCAGACTGGCAGGAAGCCAGGGGGCAAGGGAAGCCACTCAGGAAGGCCAGTTTGTGGCAGAATCAAGAGTAGATCTGGAAAGACAAAGGAGAAGATCAGGCTGGACTCAGTGGCTCACGCCTATAATCCCAGCACTTTGAGAGGCCAAGAAAAGTGGATCACCTTAGGTCATGAGTCCAAGACTAGCCTGACTAACATGGTGAAACCCGGTCTCTACTAAAAATAGTAAAATTAGCCGGGCATGGTGGCTGGTGCCTATAATCCCAGCTACTCAGAAGGCTGAGGCAAGAGAATTGCTTGAACTGGGGAGGCGGAGATGTCCCTGAGTGACAGAGTGAGACTCCATCTCAACAACAAAAAGAGGAGACAATCAGCACACAAAGCAAATAGGTACCTGCAGATAGTTTTTAGGGGAATAAAAAAAGTAAACAGGGAGCACACCTTAGTCAACTTTGCAAGCTCTTCTTTACAGGTAACTGATAAATGATACTTCTGAGTGACACTTAAGCCAGAAAATATGGAGTCCAACTTAAAATTTCAGTGAGATCTTTTGTGATTTAACTTGTCCTCACCCTCTTTCCTGCCTAGGGCATGATCAGTAAATGGCACAGTTCTATGAAGACACATGAAAGAGGACTCCTCTTACCTCCCTGAAAAAAACATCTGCAGGAGTCAGGTTGGATGGGATTTCATACTCCCTCTTGTTCAAAGCGATCAATATGGCCGTGTTGACGAGGTCAGAAAGCCGGGAGTGGTGGTTCTTGAGAACAATGGCGGCTGACAGCTTTTCCGCATGCTCACAGAGCAACAGTCGAGTGGCCATCGGTGTCCCTCTAACTGGAAAACTGCCTAGACGTCCAAATAAGCCAACCTTTCAAAAAGGCAAACACATATTCTTAGAAAGCAATTATGGTAACATGTAAAATACAATAGTTGTATTTTCCCCAGGGTGCATAGGTGTACATGCACCCTGGGCAGTCACTGGTCCCGGCTCTCCCCCAGCAAGTCCCTTCAGCTGTCTCTTGTTTTGGCTATTTCTAACACACAAACACACTTCAGCCAGGCCATTAACACCCATAAGAAAGCACAGACCGACATCCCTATTCTAAGACCAGGGTCACTCCAGGGCTTCTGCCCACTACTATTGTCTCTACATAGGATGTTTTCCAAATTATTGTTTATGGTTAGCAAAACAGACACTGCTCTTTTTGTCTTTTGTGCCGTGTTGCCCAGGGTGGAGTGCAGTGGTGCAATCACAGGTCACCCTAACCTTGAACCCTCAACTCAAGCCATCTTCCCACCTCAGCTTCCCACGCAGCACACCACTATACCAGGATAATTTTTAAATTTTATGTTTGTAGAGATAGGGGTCTCACTTTGTTGCCCAGGCTGATCTTGAACTCCTGGCCACAAGTGAGCCTCCTAACTTGGCCTCCCCAAGCACTGGAATTACAGGTGTGAACCATTGCACCTGGCCTCACACTACCCTTTATTAGCCATAACAATTAACTCCCCTAGATTCCAGACTTTCAGGAATCAGAAACTCAGCAACCTCTACCTTCAAGGACTGATTTCCATACCCCTAATGCTTCGGGGAGGGGTATGGAAAACTACACCTAAGATGGGGGCATCTTAACCCTTTGTATCTCCTACTGAGTTGCTTGATGCCCATCTGTGCTGTGTTATGCGTTCTAGGGGTTTTCCCAAGCTTTCTCACTGCATATGACATCCTGAGCTAGGAGAAGCCAAAAAACAGGCATAAATAATGAATACGTTTTCACACTTTAAGTATAATTCCCTTTGTTAATAAATGATCTGATTTCCTATCCTTCATTTTGTATATACTTTTGTAGTATTTACATGCTAGGAGATATCTCTTTTATAACACAAAAGGGGTCATACTATATATATTGTTCTGTAGCTTGTTTTATTTGATAGTATCTTACTTTTCTAACACATTTAGATATCCATTATTTTTAATACTTCACTGAATCCTAATGTATTCAACCTGTTCACCTTATTATTTTAAAATAACAATTACATAGTCTTTCCTGACTTGAATTGACTTCCTGGTTCCTTCAAAAATACTTTAGGTGTAGTTTTCAGCAAGGTCATCCCACTTGCCTCCTTTACTTTGCTTTGATTGCGGCACTGACAGTGAAGCAATAGCTCTAGATCGCACCTATGCTAGGTGAGGCGTGGTGGCTCACACCTGTAATCCCAGAACTTTCGGAGGCCAAGGCAGGCAGATCGCCTGGGTAACATGGTAAAACCCTGTCTCTACAAAAATATACAAATATTAGCTGACTTAGTGGCACATGCCTGTAGTCCCAGCTACTTGGGAGGCTGAGATGAGAAGATCGGCTGAGTCCGGGCAGGCTGTAGCTGCAGTGAGCTATGATCAGGCCACTGCACTCCAGCCTGGGTGACAGAGTGAGACCCTGCCTCAGAACAATTTAAAGAAAATTTTTAAAAATACAATCATTCTAGTCACACAATGAAAACGATCAGATTATCTCCCTGCCTGTGTACTGTATGGAGATACAATGTATAAGCACAAAAGCTTCTTCAACATCAGAAAACTAGAGGCAAAGGTACTGTTCCGAGGCATTGGTGTTACTTCTACCCACTATAGAATGAAGCTATGGCTCTGTGAATACCAAGTTTGGCTCAAGGAGAAAAGGAATATTTCTCTATATTCAGAAATATTCCCTAAGACTGGGCACAGTGGCTCAGGCTTGTAACCCCAGCACTTTGGGAAGCCAAGGCAAGAAGATCACTTGAAAACAGGAGTTTGAGACCAGCCTGGGCAACAGTGTGAGACCCTGTCTCTACAGAAAACAAAAAAATTAGTCGGGTATGGTAGTAAGCACCTGTGGTCCCAGCTGTTGGGGAGGCTGAGGTGGGAAGACTGCTTGAGTCCAGGAGGTTGAGCCTGCAGTGAGCTGTGATTGTGCCACTGCACTGCCACTTGGGCAACAGAATGAGACCTTTCCTTAGGAGTATCTAGTTATACCTTTTTCCTGATTATTAACATAAATTCTTCCCAATTAGTAAAATCAGTTCTAAATATTAAAGGAAATAGAAATATAAAAGGCATAACTGGAATGGGGTTTTCAGAACTAGCTAGACATTGCCTTGGGACAGATGCTGCTACCAACAGCCGTGAGACTTTGTGATCGTTCTCTGGAACCCAGGAAGGCTGAGAGCCAAGTGCTCATGCTCTCCTGGCTTTCCGGTCTCTAAGTGTGGCAAATCAGGTCAGGGCAAGTACCTCCCAGCCAAGTGTGCACATCTTCTTCCAATGAGAATGACTTGCCACTCTTCCCATGAAGAGGTACAATCATGCTGGGTGCAATGGCTCACACCTGTAATCTCAGCGCTTTGGGAGGCAGAGGCAGGCGGATCACTTGAGCTTAGGAGTTCGAGACCAGCCTGGGCAATATGGCAAAACCCCTTCTCTACAAAAAATACAAAAAATTAGCCAGGTTCAGCACCATGTGCCTGTAATCCCAGCTATTGGGGAGGCTGAGGCAGGAGAATCACTTGAGCCCAGGAGGTGGAGGTTGCAGTGAGCTGAGATTGTACCACTGCACTCCAGCCTAGGCAATGGGAGTGGAAACCCTGTAACACACATACAAAAAAAAAAAAAAAAAAAAAAAAAAAAAAAAAAAAGAGGTATAATCAATTCTTTAATCTCTTTCATCCCAGCTGACTTTGTGACTTGCTTTGACCAATGCCACTTTACTAGAAGTAACATTATGTGACATCTGAGATGAGCCCTTAAGAAGCCTATAGCGTCTATGTTCATCTGCTGAGACCAGAGGAAGCTGGTCCAGACCAGAGCAGGATGAGCGACTAAATGGAGGAGAACCACATAGCCTCTGCTGACAGTTGGAACCAACTGCCAGAAAGCAGGTAGAGGCTTGCAGACCCTCCAGCTCAGAGCATCCTAAAAGCAGGTTGAGTGATTCCAGGCGAAACCAGCAGAAGAACTGCCTGACTAACCCACAGAATTGTTTTAAGCCACTGTTTTTGTTTTTGGGTGGTTTATAAGGCAGTAATAGTTAACTGATACACTTGGCTAACTAAATGACCATATCAGGAGAAAATGTGTTTTTTCCCCATTAATCCATAGCCCACCTAAAATACAAAAGAGAGAGAGAGAGAGAGAGAGAGAGAGAGAGACTCACTCAATGAATGATTGGAGTTTTCTTGCCAAGGCAATAAAAGAGTAGACAGGAGACAAACCATGCACAAAAATGAACACGACTGTGGGATTAGGAACAATCGAGTCATTTCTGAAATTATCTAGTGCTGCACTGGCCAATAAGGAAGCCACTGTCTATAGTGGCTATTTAAAGAAGTTAAACTTTAGTTCTTTAGCTGCTAGTCACATTTTAACTGTTCAGTGGTCACATGCGGCCAGCAGGTGTCCCACTGTCAACACACTAGGAGAACATTCCCATGACCACAGAAAGCACTGTACTGGACAGCACTCACTACAGTCTCCTTAACATAAAAATTAGCTGGGTGTGGTAGTGAGTAGGCACTGCTGAGTTTGAAAAACAATCATGATCAGGAAAGAGGCTGGGCCTGGTAGCTCATACTTGTAAACCCCAGCACCTTGGCGGGCTGAGGTACAGGGATTGCTTGAGCCCAGGAGTTTGAGACCAGCCTGGGCAACATAGTAAGACTCTGTCTCTACGAAAACTAAAAAAAAAATTATGTGGGCATGGTGGCACAAACCTGTAGTCCTAGCTACCCAGGAGGCTGTGAGAAGACTGCTTGAGCCCAGGAGGTCAAGGCTGCAGTGAGCCAAAATCATGCCACTACACTCCAGACTGGGCGACAGACTGCCCTGTCTCAATAAAAAAATAAATAAACAAACAAACCCAAAACAGGATGAAATTCATTCGTTTGGCTATGTAATATGTCTGCAAGCCACTTTTATTGACAAGGCAAGAATGGGTGAAATTATGCAACAATTCTGTCCAGTAGCATCTAATTTAGGCGCAATACATGTGAGGATAAACTTTACACAAAAAAGAAAACGAATACTTTAAATGAGGATTTGATTTAATGGCACCTCAAAATTAAAAGTCAAATACAAAAATCTGTCATTGTCTTAATATTCTTCAGTGTTTAATAATACAAAATTGACTCATGAAAACTTAAGTTTTTCCACAAATGTATACAGGAAATAGGAATGAAGTCTGCTTCTTATACCTGCAGTAACAGGCTTGCACACAGCACTGGAATTATGGACTTTTAAAGCAGCACAGAAAAAGGAAAAGACTAGTCATGCCCCAACCAACGAAACACCTCAAAATAGAGAGAAGGGACTTCCCACTGTGTTAGACTGACAAAAGCAGAGGAGACAGCCAGCCTGGCCCCTGCTGTGTTAGCACCCTGGGCTCTTACTTGATGAATAAAGTCCATAAGGAAAGAGTGAGCTTTCATCTTGTCTTCTAGCTGGTGAAGAATAATCAGAGACGTGTTGCTGAACCCAGGTACTTCTGTTAAAACACAGTGATAAACTTATAACATAGTGGTTTTACAACTATGCTATTTTAATGTTAGTGGCTAACTGCTATTAAACAAAACAGAAAGTCTATACAAAATAAAAATATCAACCTTACAATTATTTATAACATTACTCAGGAGTTTAAAAATGTATGAGAAAATTTTGAGGTTTGATACAGTTCATACTGTATTTATTCAAAATGTAAAACATTATTGTTAATCATTTATAACAATTTAAGCTTGACAGTGGCAATGAAACAAAGAAAGGAGATGAGCTTGAATGTTTTCTTCCCAAATCTGTAAGGCAGCTTAGTGAACTTGCTAAGAAGTAGGATAATTAGGGAAACATGTTTGAGACAGTTCTCTGGCTCCTGGGGACCCCAGAGTTCCCTTGAGCTGCTGAGATGGAAGCACAAGAGGGGCACTCACCTGGGATAGGGAGGCAGACATTCTTGCTTTCTTCTACATACTGACATTTGATCACTGCTGCTCTTAGGGGAATGGATCATTTCTATTAGTCAAATATACTGATTACGCCAAAATTACTTAATTTGGGGGTAAGTAGTCTGGGCGTGGTGGCTCACACCTGTAATCCCAGAACTTTGGGAGGCCAAGGCAGGTGGACCACTTGAGATCATGAGTTCAAGGCCAGCCTGGGTAACATGGTGAAACCCCATCTCTACTAAAAATACAAAAATAAGCTGGGCGTGGTGGTACACACCTATAATCTCAGCTACTTCGGAGGCTGAGGTGTGGGGATCACTTGAATCCAGGAGGTGGGGGTTGCAGTGAGCTGAGATCTTGTCACTGCATTCCGGTCTGGGTGACAGAGTAAGGGAGACTCTGTCTCAAAAAAAACTGGGGGCAGGTTAAGTGCCAAATATTTACCTATGCTACCAATTCTCTTTTGGAAATAAAAGGCAGGAAAGCTAAGTAAGGCTAATTAATCTGCCTCAGATAGAACAATTAGGATTTGCTCCAATGTTCTTTTAGTTTTTATTCTGTTATCTAGACCTGTTGTGAGCCTTTTTCAAAATATACTATAAGGAAGGTTAGAATATTTTTTAAAATATTGAATTAATATTAAATTGTCTGAGAAGCTAAAAATATGCTTTAAGAGATGTTTCTAATAAAGAAATCAGAATATGCTCAAATATTACCATGCCATAATTAAAACGTTCTTACCCTCAGGGACAGACTCAGCCCACCGTGGGTCAGACGCTGGGTAGTCATCCATCAGGTCTACACTGATTTGGGTAACTGCCCTGTCTAGTTCAGAATCAGAATCCAAATCAGAGTGAGAGGAAAAGAGCTCTTCAACCACCATTTGAGCATGACCTAAATCTTTCCTGAAATAAAATTGGAAAATATAAGTATTAAGGGAGGCAAAATATTTTCAAAACTTACCAAGAAAAAATTGTGGAGTACTATTCAGCAAAAAAAAGAAAAAAAAGAGATCCTGTCACTTACAACAGCAGGGATGGAACTGGAGGACATGTTAAGTGAAGTAAGACAGGCACACAAAGACATGTAACAAACTTTACATGTTCTCACTCATATGGGAGCTAAAAACTAAAACGACTGAACTCATGGAGTTAGAGTAGGGTGATGGTTACCGGAGGGTGGGAAGAGTAGTGGCAGTGGCGGGGAGTGGGAACGGTTAATGGGTTAAAAAAAAACACAGATTGAAGAAGAGCTTGTATTTGATAGCACAACAGGCTGACTACCGTCAACAATAATTTATTGCACATTTTAAAGTAACTAAGAGTATAATTAGAATGTTCATAACACAAAAAAATGATGAATGCTTGAGGTGATGGATATCCCATTTACCCTGATGTGATTATTACACATTGTATGCCCATATGAAAATATCTCATGTAACCCACAAACACATATACTGTGTACCCATAAAAATTAAAAATTAAAAATAAATTTTTAAGTTAATTGTGAAGTTAAACCTAGTGCCATTTATAGGTTTTAGCTGAAAATTACTTTTAATAAAATTTACTTAATTAAAAGGGAGAAAACTATTATATATTCATTAATTCAACAAATACACATTGAATACTTACAACATGCTAGGCCCTAGACACAGAAGGATAAAAAGACATTAAAAAATAGTCCAGACAATTGAGCAAGCAATGACACAGGTGATAAACACTGACAGAGATGGAGAAAACTTATTGACAGATAAAGAGGAGGTCATGAAAGGCTGGGGAGAATTGGGGAGGGGTATACAGCTGCACACAGAGCATACATCCATATCCATCAGCAAGTAAGTCTCTATCCCAGGAGAGAACTGAGGCTACGGGAGAGGCTGAGATCACCTAGGGGACAAGAGTTTGGAAAAAAGCTTGCAGGGCAACCAATTAAAGGAAGGGGGAGCCCATAAAATCCAGCAGACTCTTCCAACTTAGAGACATTAGGGGACAACCAGGGTGTCAATGGACCCACCAGGGGATTAGCTATGGCACATATGAAGAAATGAGGGATACTGAGAAGGGATAAATCACAAAATTAGAGGACACAGTCGTGTAAACCGTGTTATGGAGTTTGAACCTAATACTAAGGACAATGAACAGGCACTGTAAAGGAGTGTCACAGTCTGTTCTAGTGTCCCAAAAGATAGCTGTAACATATGGAGAGGGGATCATACAAGAGAAAAATCCAGTTAGGAAGTTACTGCAGAAAGGAAAAGGCAGGAAAGAGAAAAATCCACTTAGAAGGTTACTGCTGGATCTGATGTACAGTAGCACCCCCTTATCCATGGTTTCACTTCCCACAGTCACAGTTACCTGTGGTCAACCACAGTCTGAAACAGATGACCTAGACAGACAGAGACAGAAAAAGAGAGAGACATAGACAGACCGGGGGTGGGGGGGGGGGGGGGCGGGGGACAGAGAGGGGGGGGGGGGGAGGGAGGAAGAGAGAGAGACCATATTCACATGTTTTTATTATTGTACAGTCATCCCTCAGTATATGCAGGAGATTGGTTGCAGGACCCCCAACACACACCAAAATCCACCCATATTCAAGGCCAGCAGTTGGCTCTGCGGAACTCTAGTATACAAAAAGGTGGCCCTCTGTATAGGCAGGTGAATTTTTGATCTGCGCTTGGTTGAAAACATGCTGCGAATTTTGGTCCTTTAGTCCCAGCTACTCAGAAGGCTGAGGCAGGAGAATTGCTGGAACCCAGGAGGCAGAGGTTGTAGTGAGTAAAGATCACACCACTGCACTCCAGCCTGGGTGACAAAATGAGACTCCATCTGAAAAAAAAAAAAAAAAAAAACAAAACAAAAAAAAAACTAACAGGGCATGATGGCCAGTAATCTCAGCTAAGGTACTAGGGAGGCCGAGGCAAGAGAACTGCTTGAACCCAGGAGGCAGAGGTTACGAAGAGCTGAGATCACACCATTGCACTCCAGCCTGGGTAACAAGAGTGAAACTCCGTCTACCAATTGTGACCCCAGGGGCATCTGGCAATGTCTGACGATAACTTTGGTCATCATGAGTTGGGGGAAAGGGTGCTAATGGCATCTAGCACGAAGTGGCTGGTGATGCTGCAAACAGCCTACAATGTACCGCTGGAGTGCAGGGGCAGGATCTCGGCTCACTGCAACTTCTGCCTCCTGGATTCAAGCGATTCTCCTGCCTCAGCCTCCTGAGTAGCTGAGATTACAGGCATGTGCCACCACGCCTGGCTAATTTTTTGTAATTTTTTTTTTTTTTTTTTTAGTAGAGACAGGGTTTCACCATGTTGGTCAGGCTGGTCTCGAACTCCTGACCTCAAATGATCTACCTGCTCTGGTCTTCCAAAGTTCTGGGATTACACGTGTGAGCCACCACGCCCGGCCTCAAATGTCAATGTTAACGGTATTGAGAAGTCCTGCTTTAAAGGCACCACAATTGTGTTTGTAAGGAGTCTACATCTTTAAGACAGCTAGCTGACACTCCCCCAGAAATCATCCCTTGTGAAGTCCACAGTACTTCACCCATGCTGGGCAGAGTAAGTTCAGCACAGCTGTGCTACAGGCCCCGTGACACTGTCCCTGAGGCTGCTGCTTGCTCAGGACTTAGATCGGGGTCCTTTCTTGTGCCTAATAATTTTCTCCAGTAAAACATCTTAAGATGAATGACTATACCAGGTTGAAAAGTGTCTCCCACAAATGCATATCTATCCAGGGCCTCAAGATGAGACCTTACTTGGAAATAGGGTTTTTGTAGATATAGTGTTAAATTATGATGAGTCTAAATCCAATGACTGATGTCCTTATAAGAAGTCCACATGGGCTGGGCATGGTGGCTCATACCTGTAATCCCAGCACTTTGGGAGGCTGAGGCGGGTGGATCGTTTGAGACCAGCCTGGCCAACATGGCAAAACCTCGTCTCTGCTAAAAATACGAAAGATTAGCTGGGCATGGCAGTGCACAACGCTGCTTGGGAGCCTGAGGCAGAATTGTTTGAACCAGGGAGGTGGAGGTTGCAGTGAGCTGAGATTGCACCACTGCACTCCTGCCTGGGTGACAGAGTGAGATTCTGTCTCAAAAAGAAAAAAAAAAAAAGAAGGTCATGTGAATGTGAAGACAGCTATGTGACAATGGAGGCAGAAACTGGAGTGACGCATCTATAAGACAAGGATTGCCAGCAGCCACCAGGAGCTGAGAGGTAAGGACAGGTCCTTTCCCAGAGCCTTGCTCTCAGACTTCTGGCCTCCAGAACTATGAGAGAAGACACTTATGTTGTTTGAAGCTCCTGGTTTGTGGTAATTTGTTATGGCAGCCACAGGAAACAAATCTAACGACTGGTCACCTGCTGTATTATCATTTACATTTTGAGATGCCACCAACCTGACAGAATTGTAATTACAGGATAAACTTGTGAAAGATAAAGACACAACATTTTAACCCAAATCTTTGAAGTAAGATTGAACCATGTAAAAGAACAAGATTAAAAGAATACAGTTTCAACGGAAACAAAAACCTTGTTTACTGGTGCCCCCTTTTGGTGAGAAACTAAGCTTAGTAGATCATGAGGCGCAGATTGTTAGAACTGTAAAAGCACTTCATCTGTCGCCTCTGTGAGTAGTGGCCTTTATGCATCAGACACCAGTATGAGTGGGATTATGGAATCATGGGCTGAGAACTGCAGGAAAAGAAAGTAGTAAACTTAGCATATTCCTTCAAAACAAAGATCTGATGATAAATTAATGATCCTTTAGCAATTCTAACTCTCATGCCACTCAATACTTCTACAAGGAAGACACAGAAACAGAATGGCAGAAATGTTCAGCATCTGTCCAAAGTTTCCCATAGCTAACATGGGGCAGAGCAGGGGCTGGATCACCAGTTTCCTGAGTATTTATTCAAATGTGAATTTGCCATAACTTTTAAGGAAAGTGCCAGAATACATGATAAGCAGAATACATGTCTAGGATAAACTGAAATCTGCATTCACCTTAAACCAGAAGAGTATTAGAGCAGCAAGTGTGACCGAGTGAGGACAATCACTCCCTACCCCATACATGCATCTGCTTAGGCCCCCCCTTACTACAGCTCACCCCTTGGACTTGCTCTGGCCAAAAGGACACTAGCAAATACCATCCCAGCAAAGACTTAGAGAGTGCTTGTGCACTGACACTTGCTCTCTTGCCCTCTTGCCACTCTGCAATCCCCATGATACATGAACAAGCCCAGGGCAGCCTGCCAGTTGAGGAAATGCCACAGGAAGCAGACAGAGAGCTGGCCAGCCACGGGCCCAGAAATGTGAGTACAGTAAAGAGCAGCTAGCCCAGCAGTGGACCAAAATGAATAAGCCCATTCAGGAACAGTAAAAATGCCACCAGAGCCCAACCACAAACAGCCAAACTGCAGAATTGTGAGCTAAGCTAAATAAGTCACTAAGGTTTGTGGTGATTTTGCATAAAGCAAAACTCAACTATCAACTAATAGGCCAGGTCTAATTCTTTTTCCTTTTTGAGACAGGGTCTTAATCTGTCACCTAGACTGGAGTGCAGTGGTGTGATCATGGCTCACAGTAGACTTGGCCTCGTGGGCTCACATGATCCTCCCAACTCAGCCTTCTGAGTAGCTGGGACTAAAGGCGTGCATCACCATGCCCGGCTAATTATTTTTTAAATTTTTCTTTGTAGAGATGAGGTCTTTCTATGTTGCCCGGACTGGTCTTGAACTCCCGGGCTCAAGCGATCCTTCTGTCTCAGCCTCCCAGAGTGCTGGAATTACAGGTGTGAGCCACCACACCAGGCCACAATTCTTTTATATTACCAATAAACTTTGTATGCAGCTGGGCATGGTGGCTCAAGCTGTAATCTCAACACTTTGGAAGGCTGAGGCAGGTGGATCACTTGAAGACAGGAGTTTGAGGCCAGCCTGGCCAACAAGGTGAAACCCCATCTCTACTAAAAATACAAAAATTACGCTGAGCGCAGTGGCTCATGCTTGTAATCCCAACACTTTGGGAGGCCAAGGCGGGTGGATCACTTGAGGTCGAGAGTTCAAGACCAGCCTGACCAATGAAGAAACCCCGTCTCAAATTATAAAAAAAAAAAAAAAAAAAAAACAAAAATTAGCCAGACTAGCCAGACGTGGTGGCACACAACTGTAGTTCCAGCTACTTGGGAGGCTGAGGCAGGAAAATCGCTTGAACCTGGGAGGCAGAGGTTGCAGTGAGCTGAGATCACGCCACTTTAGCCTGGGTGACAGAGTAAGAGTAAGACTGTCTCAAAAAACAAACAAACATGAAAAACCCTTGATAAGCAACTTATTTACACCTTAACATTATACATAAAAGACCCTTGCAAGATGTCTTAATGATCACCATTTTCAATGGTGCATTATTTTTCATGAAGTGGAAAGAGTATGTTAGATCCCATTTTTTTCCCTGGCCTAGCTGGAACCCTCCCATACTTACTAAGTTCAGAACAGTTTATTAAAATGCTAAAGCTCAAAAATACATTCTCCTCTTATTTCATTATTATTATTTTGAGATGGAGTCTGGTTTTGTCGCCCAGGCTGAAGTACAGTGTCACGATCTCAGCTCACTGCAACCTCTGCCTCCTGGATTCAAGTAATTCTCTGCCTCAGCTTCCCAAGTAGCTCGAATTACAGGTGCCCACCACCATGCCCAGCTAATTTTTTTTGTGTGCATTTTTAGTAGTGACGGGATTTCACCATCTTGGCCAGGCTGGTCTTGAACTCCTGACCTTGTGATCTACCTGCCTTGGCCTCCCAAAGTGCCAGGAATACAGGCGTGAGCCACCGCGGCCAGCCAACATTCTCCTCTTGACAGCATCATTCCTCCAACTGCTCTCGCCAGTCGAGAAATAAGTAGCACATGTCATTAAAACATATCCTGACACATAAAATAATCCATAATTTTAAAAACATGTTATACCTGCAGTATTGCAGAAAGGCAGCTTTCAGCAACTTGATTTTATCTTCCTGGGCTATAGTTTCATTCTTTGGAGTGGTCTCAAAAACCATACTCTGCAAAATAACAAAGTATAATTTAGAGATAAAGGTATCTGAATATTCTTAATTATTGGACTAAAAACTGCACCCAACCTATGATAGCAATTCTGCATATACACAAACTGTTTATCATATTGTCTGGACCAGGGATGTCCAATCGTTTGCCTTTCTTGGACCACACTGGAATTAGAATTGTCTTGGTCCACACATAAAATACACTAACATTAATGATAGCTGACTGGCTGGGTATGGTGGCTCACACTTGTAATCCCAGCACTTTGGGAGGCTGAGGCAGGCAGATCACGAGGTCAGGAGTTCAAAACCAGCCTGGCCAATATGGTGAAACCCCGTCTTTACTAAAAAATACAAAAATTAGCCGGGCGTAGTGGTGTGAGCCTGTAGTCCCAGCTACTGGGGAGGCTGAGGCAGGAGAATCGCTGGAACCCAGGAGGCAGAGGTTGCAGTGAGCTGAGATCATGCCACTGCACTTCAGCTTGGGAAAGAGAGACACTCCTTCCAAAAAAAAAAAAAAAAATAAAAAGGTAGCTGATGAGTTAAAAAAAAATCTCGTTTCAACAAAGTTTACAAATGTGTGTTGGACTGCATTCAAAGCCATCCTGGGCTGCATGTGGCCCATGAGTCATGGGTTGGACAAGCTTAGCCTGAACCCATTATTCATATACTTATTCAAACACTATAAATAGCACCAAATGATCAACCAAAATCATAGAGAAAAGGCACAGGTATTCAGGGATTATGTTGTAAGTAAAATAATTTAGAAATTTCATCATAATTAACAGAATTTTTTTATAGGTTTGCTCTTATACAACTCATCACAGTGTATACTACTAAGCATAATGGTTGATTACAAGTTTAAACAAGAATTTAGAAAAATTTTAAAGAAATGAAATACTATAAAATAGCTTCAGAAGGTATAACAGTATTACAATAACAATATGATTACAAAACAATCAAAGTATTAATCCTTTTTGTGAAAATAAAAAAAGTAAAAAATTGTTACTTTCCTTTAAAACTGTACTCAATCACTTTAATTGTGAATTAGAGGTAGTCTATGTATTTCATACACTATTCAAGTGGAAATTACCCCAAACAGTATTAATTACTTTTAGTCTTCTGTAAAAGAATGATAAAAATCTTATGGCTGGAATATTTCAGGTTTCAAGATAACAGAAAAAAATTGGTAATTTTTACCTGGCTATTCCTCCCAAAAAATCATCCCAGAATAAAAAGAAACAAAAATACAAGCTCCATGGAAATACTGTGATACTAACTACAACAAAGGAAGACAGAAAGCAGAAGGCATGGGAAATGGCAGCAATGACAGGAGATGAGGCCACCCGTGCATGGTGCAGGGGACAGGTCCTGAGGATTTGGGGACAATGGAAAAGGGAAGCTCCGATGATAGCCATGCAGATGGACAGCTTCTGGAGACTTGACTTTGGGAAAAACTACACTGAGGGGCACTCTACAGAACTCCTGGAGTGTGTGAAAAGATTAAGTCACAAATGAAAGGGAAGTGAGCAAATATAAAATGAGGTCATTATACACTCCAAGAGTCACACAAAGTTGTATAATAAATGTAATGAGTATATTGCTTGGCTCAGCAAACCATAAACAATATTCACATTGCCAAAACAATGGAAAAAAATTTATGTTTGAATGATAAAGGCAGAGGAAAGAGCGTAAGGTAACTCAAAACCTCATTTTCTATAGTAGAAAATCAACAGCTGAATCAGGAGACAGGAATATATGTGTATTACTTAGTAATATGGAGAAAAATGCCAAAATAAATCACTAAAAGGCTTAAAAGTAATCGCTTCAGGCAAAGAGGGCAGAAGGGATGAGGAAGATAAAAAGAACTAAGTCTGCATCATAAATCTTTGAAAACTGTCTCAGTTTTGGGACCTTTTGTATAACATACTCTGATAAAAATAAAAATTAGGCTGGGCACGATGGCTCCACACCTGTAACCCCAGCACTTTGGGAGGCTGAAGTGGGAGGATGCTTGAGCCCAGGAGTTTGAGACCAGCCTAGGCAACAAAGGGAAATCCTGTCTCTACAAAAAATAAAACATTAGCCAGGTGAGATGGCATGCACCAGTAGTCCCAGCTATGTGGGAGGCTAAGAGAGGAGGGCTGCTTGATCCCAGGAGGTTGAGGTGAGGCTGCAGTGAGGTGATTATGCCACTGCACTCCAGCCTGGGCAACAGAGTGAGACTCTTATCTCAAAAACAGAACAAAACCAAAAAAAATAGGCACCTACTGGGAAGTCTGAGGCATGAGGATTGCTTGAGGCTAGGAGTTTGAGGCTACAGTGAGGTACAATTGTGCCACTGTACTCTAGCGTGGGTGACAGCGTGAGACCCTATCTCTAAAAAATGAGACCCTATCTCTCTCTCTTTTTTTTCTGAGATGGAGTTTTGCTCTTGCTGTAATCTGGGCTCACTGCAACCTCCACTTCCTGGGTTCACATGATTCTCCTGCCTCAACCTCCTGAGTAGCTGGGCTTACGGGTGTGCACCACCACGCCCAGGTAATTTTTGTATTTTTATTTATTTATTTTTTTGAGACGGAGTTTCACTCTTGTTATCCAGGCTGGAGTGCAATGGTGCGATCTCGGCTCACCGCAACCTCCGTCTCCTGGGTTCAAGCAATTCTCCTGCCTCAGCCTCCCGAGTAGCTGGGACGAAAGGCGTGCGCCACCATGCCCAGCTAATTTTTGTATTTTTAGTAGAGACGGGGTTTCACCATGTTGACCAGGATGGTCTCCATCTCTTGACCTCGCGATCCACCCGTCTCGGCCTCCCAAAGTGCTGGGATTATAGGCGTGAGCCACCGCGCCCAGCCAATTTTTGTATTTTTAGTAAAGATGAGATTTTGCCATGTTGGCCAGGCTGGTCTTGAACTCCTGAGCTCACGTGATCTGCCCACCTCGGCCTCCCAAAGTGCTGGGATTACAGAGGTGAGCCATTGTGCCCGGCCAAGACCCTGTCTCTAAGAAATCATTAACACAAAAACTTTAAAATCTTATAGAATCACATTACCACATTGTTTGGTCCAGCAACTGAAGATGCTAAGGAATCTTCCAGGTCTTCTGCCAATATGGACACATTTTCCCTTGAAGTAATAGACACTAGTCCACTGTTTCTAGAAAAAATGATAGGAACACCACCACAGGCACCAGCACCTAAAACACTATCTCCTAAAAGACAAAAAAATAGAGTCAAATACATCTAACAACAACAACAAAAACGCTTTGTAAAATCTACCACCCTAAGAAAACAATCTTGATGATATATTAAGCACGTTTTTTTCCTTTACAATATTATTCCTACTTCAAACTTATCCTTTAAATCCCAGAATCAAATGTTGAGAACCGGCTACTATTTGAAGAAGCAGACTGTGTCCCTTCAGCTTTAAGGACAATAAAAATCAGCCTTGCCAGAGAGCAGTCAGTCTAGTAAGCCAAAAAAGAAAATTATTCATTCTGCAAAACTCAGAATAAGAGAGCTTTCTCAATCCTGTGGAGTTCTCTTGCTTAATTCTGTATTTAACTTATCACATCAGTTAACCGGGATTTAACAAAAAGAAAAGAAAAGGGGAAGCCAACATGGCAGAGAGAAGCCAGCACCGGAATGCAGCTCCCAGCAAATGAGACGCAGAGGGCTAGAGGACTTCACGATTCCAAACAAGGTGCCAGGTTCGTGTCTGTGGGGCCGATAGGGCACTGAAAATAAGCCCAGGGACGTGCAGCCGGCTTGGAGGGCCGGGGGACTTAACGCCCTCAGTGTTCCGTTTCAGATCCTGTGCTTACCTCATCCCTCCTGCAACCCACGGTCCACGAGATCCCTGCCAGATGGTGGGGCACCGTAGGTAGTCCATGCAAATCTGAGCAGCGCCTACCGCCAGGCGGGGCAAGTTGTCGCAGGGACCTGGGCGGGAGTTTGGACTAACGCCAGCAGGACGGACCATCCCACAGAGGGAGGCAAAGTTGAAAGCAGGGAAACAGACCATAAGGCCTGGCAGGCCCCACCTCCACAGAACTCAAACTGAAGCCCTCGCTAGAGAGCTTGGTAGCAAATACACCAGCTTGACCCCAACCAGGAAGATCCAGCTGGGGAAGGAGAGACGCCATGGGGAAGGCGGGGCCCATCTCACCTGCAAACAAACTCCAGGGAAGGACCACCCAGCCAACAACCTGACTGAACCCAAGAGAGTCCAGCAACGCCCTCTACAGGCCAAAAGAAAGATACAACTCCAACCTCAACAGAAAAAAACGTCCACTCAGAATCGTCCTGAAATCACCAACCTCAAAGATTAAAGGGAGATTCGAAGGTGGGAAAAAATCAGTACAAAAAGGATCAAAGAACAGAACACCTCTTCTCCTTCCAGGGATCACAACTCCTCACCATTAAAGGAACAAAAAAAGACAGAGAATGAATCTGATGAATCAACAGAAGCAGGCTTCAGAAGGTGGGAAATAATAAATTTCTCTGAATTAAAAGACCATGTTCTAACCCAATGCAAAGAAACTAAGAACCTTGAAAAAAGGTTAGACGAAATGCTAACTGGAATAACCAACTTAGAGAGGAACATAAATGACTTGATGGAGCTGTAGCACAAGAACTTCACAAGGCATATACAAGTTTCAACAGCTGAATCAATCGAGCAGAAGAAAGGATATCAGAGACAGAAGATCAACTCAATGAAATAAAACGAGAAGGCAAGATTAGAGAAAAAAGAGTGGAAAAAAATGAACAAAGCCTCCAAGAACTACGGAATTATGTGAAAAACCCTAATCTACGCTTGATCGGCATACCTGAATGTGATGGGGAGAATGAATCCAAGTTGGAAAACACTCTTCAAGATATTATCCAAGAGAATTTTCCCAACCTAACAAGGCAGGCCAACATTCAAACCCAGGAAATACAGACAAGACCACAAAGATATTCCTCAAGAAGAGCAACCCCAAGGCACATAGTTGTCAGATTCAGCAGGGTTGAAACGAAGGGAAAAATTCTAAGGGCAGCCAGAGAGAAAGGTCAAATCACCCACAAAGGAAACACCATCAGACTCACAGCAGATCTCTCGGCAGAAACCCTGCAAGCTAGAAGGGAGTGGGGGCCAATATTCAACATCCTTAAAGAACTTTCAACCCAGAATTTCATATCCAGCCAAACTAAGCTTCAAAAGCGAAAGAGAAATAAAATCCCTTAAGGACAAGCAATTGCTGAGAGATTTCATTGCTACAAGACCTGCCTTACAAGAACTACTGAAGGAAATACTAAACAGGGAAAGGAACAACCAGTACCAGTCACTGCAAAAACATACCAAATGGTAAAGAATAAGGATGCAATGAAGGAACCATGTAAATTAACAGGCAAAACAACCAGCCAGTGACAAAATGACAGGATCAAATTCAAACATAACAATATTAACGTTGAATGTAAATGGCCTAAATGCCCCAATCAAAAGACACAGACTGGCAAACTGAATAAAAAGTCAAGACTCATCAGTGTGCTGTATTCAGGAGACCCAGCTCAAATGCAAAGACTCATATAGACTCAAAATAAAGGGATGGAAGAAGATTTATCAAGCAAATGAAGAGCAAAAAAAAAGCAGGAGTAGCAATCCTAGTCTCTGATGAAATGGACTTTAAACCAACAAAGATCAAAAGAGACAAAGAAGGGCATTATATGATGAAAAAAGGATCAATGCAACAAGAAGAGCTAACTATCCTAAATATTTATGCACCCAATGCAAGGGCACCCAAATACATAAAGCAAGTTCTTAAAGACCTACAAAGAGACTAGACTCCCGCATAATTATAGCGGGAGACTTTAACACTCCACTGACAATATTGGACAGATCAAGGAGACAGAAAGTCAACAAGAATACCCAGAACTTGAACACAGATCTGGACACAGAAAGTCAACAAGAATACCCAGGACTTGAATGCAGATCTGGATCAAGCGGACCTAACAGACATTTACAGGACACTCCACCCCAAATCCACAGAATACACATTCTTCTTAGCACCACATTGCACTTACTCCAAAACTGACCACATAATTGGAAGTAAATCACTTCTCAGCAAATGCAAAAGAATGGAAATCATAACAAACAGTCTCTCAGACCACTGATCAAGGAAATAAGAGAGGACACAAACAGATGGAAAAACATTCCATGCTCATGGTTAGGAAGAATCAGTATCATGAAAATGGCCACACTGCCTAAAGTAATTCATAGATTCAATGCTATCCCCATCAAGCTACCATTGACCTTCTTCACATAACTGAAAAAAACCACTTTAAACTTCATATGGACCCAAAAGAGAACCTGCATAGCCAAGACAATCCTAAGCAAAAAGAACAAAGCTGGAGGCATTACACTACCTGACTTCAAATTATACTACAAGGCTACAATAATCAAAATAGCATGGTACTGGTACCAAAACAGAGATATAGACCAGTGGAACAGAACAGAGGCCTCGGAAGCAACGCCACAGTTCTACAACCATCTGATCTTTGACAAACCTGACAAAAACAAGCAATGGGGAAAGGATTCCCTGTTTAATAAATGGTGTTGGGAAAATTGGCTAGCCACGTACAGGAAGCTGAAACTGGACCCCTTCCTTACACCTTATACAAAAATTACCTCCAGATGGATTAAAGATTTAAACATAAGAACTAACACCATAAAAACCCTAGAAGAAAACCTAGGCAAAACCATTCAGGACATAGGCACAGGCAAGAACTTCATGACTAAAACACCAAAAGCAATGGCAACAAAAGACAAAATAGACAAATGGGACCTAATTAAACTTGAGAGCTTCTGCACAGCAAAAGAAACAATCATTAGAGTAAACTGGCAACCAACAGAATGGGAAAAAATTTTCACAATCGACCCATCAGACAAAGAGCTAATATCCAGAATCTACAAAGAACTAAAGCAGATTTACAAGAAAAAAACAAACAAACCCATTCAAAAGTGGGTGAAGGATATGAACAGACACTTTTCAAAATAAGACAAATATGTGGCCAACAAGCATATGAAAAATACTTATCATCATTGGTCATTAGAGAAATGCAAATCAAAACCATGTTGAGATACTATCTCATGCCAGTTAGAATGGCAAGCATTAAAAAATCTGGAGACAACAGATGCTGGAGAGGATGTAGAGAAAAAGGAACACTTTTACACTGTTGGTGGGAGTATAAATTAGTTTAACCATTGTGGAAGATAGTGTGGCAATTCCTCAAGAATCTAGAAATAGAAATTCCATTTGACCCAGCAATCCCATTACCGGGTATATACCCAAAGGACTATAAATCATTCTATCAAAAGACACATGCACACGTATGTTCATCGTGGCGCTGTTTATGACAGCAAAGACCTGGAACCAACCCAAATGCCCATCGATGATAGACTGGACCAAAAAAATGTGGCACATATACACCATGGAATACTATGCAGCCATAAAAAATGAGTTCGTGTCCTTTGTAGAGACATGGATGAACCTAGAAACCATGATTCTCAGCAAACTGACACAAGAGCAGAAAACCAAACACCACATGTTTTCGCTCATAGACAGGTGATGAACAACAAGAATACTTCGGCACAGGGAAGGGTACAACACTCACAGGGCTAGGTTAGAGAGGTGGAGGGGAGGGGAGGGGGACAGCAGGTGCGGGGGCGGGGAGGATGGGGAGGGATAACACTGGGAGAAATGCCTGATGTAGGCAACGGCGGGGGTGGGGAGGGGAGAGTGATGGAGACAGCAAACGACCATGGCACGTATGTACCTATGCAACAATCCTGCAGGATGCAGGACGTGCACATGTACCCCAGAGCCCAAATACAATTAAAGAAAGAAAGAAAAAAAGAAAGAAAAAGTCTAAGCCTACCTAGTGCCTTAGTAACTTCCTACCCACCTAGTCAAGTTTCCTGTGCTGGGATTAGGAAAACCTGGGTTCCAACTATGCTGTTGCCTTCCTGGATTCTGTCCTCTACCCAACCCCTTCAGCTAAATGTATGCTTGGCTTCTCGTCAGCCCTGACCAGCTGCATGAGTCCAGCACCTGGGGCTCTTTTTATCCAGGGGTGTGGAAAAGTTAGAGCATCAAATCAGAATAAGTCACTTTTACTAAGTAGGAATAAGCAATTACTTGTCGTAACATTAGTTCTTTCCTTCTTGGCATCCTCTCCCGAAACCAATGTTACTATTTTTGCCTGCAAATATAATAGTTTGGGAACTCTAGTACCCTTTTGGTTTTTTAGTAGGGTTGTGGCGTCAGCCGCTGTAGTTGTGGTATGAAATGTCTCAGTAACATTTGAAGGCAGGATGCTTGAAGAGACACTCATGGAAAAAGAAAAAAGCACTCAGAATGACTAATGAGCTCACTAACCATGCTTTCTAAAACTGCTACCGTACCTTGTGAATTAAAGACAATTTTCTCCTGGGGAAGAGAAAATCTCCCAGTTCCTGTGGAGCACACATAGATAGCACTTTCGTTATACAGATACGCAGTCTGGTTTGAAAAGTTTGGGATCATCAGCTGACATAAAACCAGGTCTTCAGACTGAAAGTTAAATTTAAGATTATATTTAACAAGAAGTGAAACAAAACTATTTGTATGATTTTTAAAATTCATTTTTGTACATTATTTCATAAAAATGATAAAATAATTCACCAGCTCTGTTAGTAAAAATCTAAAAACTACCCATGAGATGATTAACATGACAGAGTAAGTTTATAAACATCAAGTAGACATATATTTTGTTGACTTGCTTAAAATTTGCTTATTATTATTATTACTATTATTTTGAGACAGAGTCCCACTCTTTTGCCCAGGCTGGAGTGCAGTGGTGCAATCTCAGTTCACTGCAACCTCTGCGTCCCAGGTTCAAGTGATTCTCCTGCCTCAGCCTCCTGAGTAGCTGGGATTACGGGTGCACGCCACCACAACTGGCTAATTTTTTTGTATTTTTATTAGAGATGGGATTTCACCGTGTTGGCCAGGCTGGTCTCGAACTCCTGACCTCAGGTGATCCACCCACCTCAGCTTCCCAAAGTTCTAGGATTCCAGGCATGCCACCACACCTAGCCTTATTTGTTAATTTCTAAAATTAACAAATTTTGAAAACATTTTCATGATGATGAGTATAACTAGAAGCCTATGACAAATACAATAGAGAAAATTAAAGCACTAATTCATTATATTATTTAAGAACTGGCAATTTTTTATAAATGATTCCTGATAAACATTTTGGTTCTTATCTTAATGCCAAGATATTAATGATAAGAAAACTTAATTTGTTTACACATAAAATCAGAGGCAGAAATATAAATAAAATCTCATTAAGTGATAAAATTAGAATATGCTAAAAATAATAAGCTGTTATAAAAGAAGTAATTTTACAGAAACATTAAATGCAAGGTCCTAGAATTTTTTTAATCCTCAAATTCTCTTTATAGCCTTCTGCCCTGCCTGAATTCTTTTCTAGCATGTTTTCCTCGCATAATCAGAACATATGATAAGGTTTATTTCTGTATGACATAAAAGAACAAGTTAAAAGGTTTTCTTACAGGATTCAATTAAACAAGCCATGTTAAGAACAAAGATTTTTTTTTTTTTAAAAAGTAAGGATTTAAGCCAGGAACAGTGGTAATCCAGGAACACCTGTAATCCCAACTACTTGAGAGGGCTGCTTGAGCCCAGGAGTGAGGCTACCGTGTACTATGATGGGCCTGTGAATATCACTGTACTCTAGTCCAAGCCACACAGCAAGATCCTATCTCTTTAAAAAATAAACAACAATTTCATAGAATTAGGTATTATATAAGATTAAATAAAATGAATTTACAAATGTTCAGGTTTTTCCTCATGAATATCAGTTATTAAACATGTTTAATTGCTATTAATGAACTTAAAATTACAACACCTGTCTTTCAGTTGTTTACAAGAACTTTGATGAGTATTTAACACTGTTGAATACAAATATAGTCTTGCTTTGGGTAAAAAGGGGGATTTTTATATGACATACAGAAGTCTAAACCAAACCCTGATTCCTCCCAGCTTTCTTTCTTTTCCTTTTTTTCTTTTTTTTTAGGATGGGGTCTCACAACATTGCCTAAGCTGGAATGCAGTAGTTCTTCACAGGTGTGAATGTGGCACACGATAGCCTCAAACTGCTGGGCTCAAGTGATCTTCCTGCCTCAGCCTTTTGAGCAGCTGGGACTACAGGCATGTACTCACCATCCCCAGCTTGGTTTCTTCCTTATTTTCACTCTGAAATTAATAATCAATACCTTCTTTCTACTTAATAATCTTATATCCCTTCAAAGATCTAGAGCAGAAGAAACAAATTGCTTTCTGCTAGTTGCTTCCATTCTCATTTATCTTTAGCCAAAACTGAGCAAAAGAACAAGTCTGAGATGGCAAAGAAAACGCAACAATGTCTAAAAACAAGCTACTTTAAAAATATTTCCAAGCCCTGCAGACGAAATCTCTCAAGAAATTTGACCCTGAAATGGGCCAGGCGCGGTGGCTCATGCCTACAATCTCAACACTTTGGGAGGCCAAGGCAGGTGAATCACTTGAGGTCAGGGGTTCAAGACCAGCCTGGCCAACATGGTGAAACCCTGTCTCTACTAAAAATACAAAAATTAGCTGGGCATGGTGGTGTACGCCTGCAGTCCCAGCTACTTGGGAGGCCGAGGCAGGAGAACTGCTTGAACCCGGGAGGGGAGGTGGAGGTTGCAGTGAGCTAAGATCGAGCCACTGCACTCCAGCCTGGGTGATAGAGCAAAATTTTGTCTCTAAATAAATGAATAAATAAATAAATTTGACGCTAAAATGGTTAGAAAAATACTCAAAATATTATTGCTACTTTATAATTTAACTTATAAATTTACATCTTACCTGAAAAGGTGGATTATACTGAGTGACTTCTACAGTAACTGCATCTGACATTTGGCAACCAGTATCTTCTACCGTTATCAGAGAATAATAGATGAGACATGGATTGTCTGCTGGGTGCCATGCTGCTGCCAAAATCACCAGCCCATCACTAATCAATAAAAAAGAAAGACAGATAAAGCTTGTCTAAAAAACAACTTAACAGCTTCCTATAAAAATTAAACATATGCTTACCATATAACCTAGCAATTCCACTCGTGGATACCTACCCAAGAGAAAAGTAAAAAACAAAAAACCAATAACTATGTTCACACAAAAACCTGTGCACGAATGACTGTAGTGGCTTTATTCATAATTCCTAAAACTGAAAACAACCCAATGTCTTCCAATTGCTGAATAAACTGTGGCATATCCACACAAAGGAATACTATTCAGTATAAAAAAAAGTTACTGAATGAATTTCAAATGTATTATGCTAGGTGACAGAAGCCAGATTCAAAAGGCTTTACACTGTGTGTTCCACTTCTATGGCATTAAGCAAAAGACAAAACTACAGGGACAGAAACCACATCAATGGTCTCCAGGAGATAGGGGTAGATGGAGGGGTTGATTACAGAAAGGCACAAGGGAATCTGGTGGGGGGAAACTGTTCTGTATTGATTATTGTGGTTAAATGACTAAACTAAATATCTGTCAAAATTTGTAGAATTAGGGCCGGGTATGGTGACTTACATCTGTAATCCCAGCACATTGGGAGGCCAAAGTGGGCAGACCACCTGATATCAGGAGCTCAAGACCAGCCTGGACAACATGGCGAAACCCTGTCTCTACAAAAATACAAAAATTAGCAAGGCATGATGGCAGACACCTGTAGTCCCAGCTACTTGGGAGGCTGAGGCAGAATTGCTTGAACCCAGGAGGCGAAGGTTGCAGTGAGCTGAGATTGCACCACTGCACTCCAGCCTGGGTGACAGAGTTACACTCCATCTTAAAAAAAACAAGAAAAACAAACAGTTGTAGAATTATATACTAAATAGGGTAACTTTTACTCTATGTAAATTATAGTTCAATAAACCTGACTTAAAAAAAAGATTAAAAAAAAAAATCATCTGATCCAGACAAGTACAGCCCTCCAGTGAAATTGAGCCCAGACTAGTTTTTATAAATAAAGCTTTGTTGGAAGGCAACCATACCCATCCATTTATGTATTTTCTAGGGATGTTTCATGATACCATTGGTGAAATAGAGTAGCTGCAGTAAAGACTACATGGCCCCCGAAGCCTAAAACAGTTACTTTTGGCCCTTTCCGGAAAAGGTTTGCCAATCCCTGATCTACTCAGTTATTTAAAGCTTACTTGCTTTTGTCCAGAGGAAAAACATTAAAAGGAAAAATTTTTATGGTCAGGCACAATGGCTCACACCAAAGTGTTGGGAGCCAACACTTTCAGAAGCTGAGATGGGAGGATCATTTGAGCCCAAGGGTACAATACCAGCCTGGGCAACATTGTGAGATCCTATTATCTCTTTAAAAAAAATTTAAAAGGTCAGGTGTGGTGGTTCACATCTGTAACTCCAGCACTTTGGGAGGCCGAGGTGGGCAGATCAGGAGTTCAAGACCAGCCTGGCCAACACGGCAAAATCCCATCTCTACTAAAATACAAAAATTAGCCCAGCATGGTGGTGTGTGCCTGTAATCTCAGCTACTCAAGAGGCTGAGGCATGAGAATCACTTGAACCCAGGATGCAGAGACTGAAGTGAGCCAAGATTGCACCAGTGCATTCCAGCCTGGGCAACAGTATTAGACTCTAACTCAAAAACATAAAAATAATTTTTGGCCAGGCACAGTGGCTTATGTGTTTAACCCAAGCACTTTGGGAGAGGCTGAAGCAGGAGGATTGCTTGAGCTCAGTAGTTCAAGATCAGCCAGGGTAACCCCGTCTTTAATGTTGAAAATATACATATATATTTTAAAATTTTTTAAATCATCAGTTACAGAAATTTCAAACTGCTGTATATGTAAAAACAAACCATTTTGTATCTTACTTTGTCTTTTTTTTAGATGGAGTCTCACTCTGTCACGCAGGCTGGAGTGGAGTGGCGCGATCTCGGCTCACTGCAATCTCCGCCTCCCAGGTCCCGGTTCAAGCAATTCTCCTACCTCAGCCTCCCAAGTAGCTGGGATTACAGGCACAAGCCACCATGCCCAGCCAACTTTTGTATTTTTTAGTAGAGGCGGGGTTTCACCATGTTGGCCTGTCTGGTCTTGAACTCCTGACCTCATGATCCACCTGCCTCGGCCTCCCAAAGTGCCGGGATTACAGGCGTGAGCCACTGCATCTGGCCCCATTTTGCAACTTAAAGCTTATTTGTCCCTTAAGTCTAGCAAAACTATTGCCCCCAATAAGAAATTAAATGGTTTCTATTTTAGCTTCTAAAACATCTAGTACTATAACTAGCAACTTCCATTTAGGTCTTAGAAATATTAAAAGGGTGGCAAAGCACCCTCTACTGACAACTAAAAATAAGAAACCAAGCAAGTAGCTAATGACAGGACACTTAAATGCAAGCAATCCAAGCATGGTTCTCATTTTTCTTCATGGTTCTCTTCCCCTAGCTCCCCAAACATTATCACTTCTGCTTGGACTCTTGAAAAGAATTCAAGAATATTGGTCCATATTATTCTAAGTGAAGTAACTCAGGAATGTAAAACCAAATATCATACTATGTCACTTACAAGGGGTAGCTAAGCTATGAGGACACAAAAGTATAAGAATGGTATAATGGACTTTGGGGACTTGAAGCGGAAGGGTGGGAGGAGGGTGAAGGATAAAAGACTACATACTGGGTACAGTGTACACTGCTCGAGTGACAGGTGCACTAAAATTTCAGAAATCACCACTAAAGAACTTACCCGTGTAACTAAAAACCAGCTGTACTCCAAAAACTATTGAAATAAAAATAAAATAAAAATCAATTTTAAAAAAAAGGAATATCGGCCCAAACTTGTGACATGTTCACAGTCTCCCTCTCTCCCTCTCTCCCTCTCTCTCTCTCTCTCTCTCTCTCTCTCTCTAATGCCCAGGCTGGCCTCGAATTCCTGGCCTCAAGTGAGCCTCCTGCTTGATCAGTAAGTTTTTATGTGAATATATCCAAAATAATGAAGTTAAGGTTAAAAAAAAAATTCCAAACTTTGCATCTAAAATGAAGATATCTAAAATTTGTATTAGTAATCATCCAGTAAAATAATTTATTAATTTTTGTTTTATTGTCTTAGAAACAAAATCTTGCTCTGTTGCCTGGGTAGAGTGCAGTGGTGGGATCATAGATCACTGCAGCCTCAGTCTCCTGGGCTCAAGTGATCCTCCCGCCTCAGCCTTCTGAATAGCTAGGACTATGGTGCACATCATCAGCCCAGATAAATTTTTATTTTTATTTGTGTGGAGACAAGGTCTCGTTTTGTTGCTCAGGTGACCTTGAACTACTAGCTTCAAGCAATCCTCCTGTCTTGGCTTCCCAAAGTGCTGGGATTATAGGCATGAGCCACCCAGCCTGGCCAAGTAATTTATAAACCTATTCACTGAAATTATAAGCCCAGATTGCAGCTCTGGCCAAATGGACAACAAATCAGTAAGTGTGAATGACTATGAGGAAGACAAACACTACTCTCAAAATAAAGAAACCCGTCCATATGAGAAATTCACTGTACAGTTCTGATCACAAGACCTCACGGATGTAAGAGAGTGCTAACTGCATCATTTAGAGTAAAGGAGGAGAGGAAGGTCAAGGAGGATGAGGGCTGCACCTCACAGGGATCCCACTGGTCAGCATGACAACACTGGGGGAGAGGAGTCCTGGGTGGAACCTGCATAGCAATTCCTGAGCATGCTTCTCATTCTCAACCCCATGCCTCCAGTTCTGAAAATTATGTGAAAAATGTCTGCATTATATGCCCACAGTGGGCTGTCCTGAATTTCCAAAAGTCTGGTAAAGACAAACAGGTAAACTGTATTTAATTAAAATGCTTACAGAAAGCAAACAAGTACGATTACTTTTACTTCTTTGATAGCTTTTGTAAGGTTTTCAGAGACTGTAAAAGACCCTACTAATAGTCTCAACAGCCCTAGAGAGAGAAAAATTACACAAAGTGGTACAACTGCAATATCCCTCAAAGGAACAAGTAGAATTTGTTCTACTTAACCAAAACATGTAACAAGAACAGTAAAAATTAAAACTCATAAAAAATATTCTTTAATTTCTGAGAAGTTGTCTTCTGAAGGATTACTAGTTATATATTTGCATTCACTATGAGCAATGTTACAAATGGTTTTTAAGTTCCATGTGATCTTCAGCATTAAAGTTAAATAATAACATGGGTAATTAGCTTTACCAGACTAACCTGGGATCCTATGTACCACTTAGAGCACTGTTTCTAAGAGGAAATTTACTCTGAGTATGAACTATGATTAAGTTCTAACCTGTGCTACCAAGACAAAACCTTACCTCATTCTTTACTCAGCACAGCCACAAATGTAGGCCTAAAGTTCCTTGAGCAACAGAAGGAGGGTGGGAAACATTTGCCTAATACCTCTAATAAGAGCAATGACAGCATGGGGAACACACAGCAGTGGGCAACGACAGGGTCTCAGGCATCTCTTGGCAGTGAAGAAGAGAAACTCTAGCTGTAAGCATAGAAAAGCTTGAGTCTCTAACTAATGAGACACCAAGGTAAGAATATACCGTTTAAGGCTGAAAAATGCCTCAATTTCTCAAATGAACTAGGATCACTTGATAAACAACAGCAAAACCATTCGGTAAGGTGTAATAGATATTATGAGAAGATAGGCACTGAAAGAACAAGGTGGGCACTGTGGCTCACACTTGTAATCCCAATATTTTGGGACACTGAGGCAGGAGGATTGCTTGAGCCCAGGAGTTCAAGACCAGCCTGGGCAACATGGCGAGACCCTATCCCTATAAAAAATTTTAAAAATCAAGCAGGTGTGGTGGCAAATGTCTGTAGTCCCAGCTACATGGGAGGCTGAGGCAGGAGGATTACTTTAGCCCAGAAGGTCATGGCTACAGTTAGCTATCATGGCACCACCATATCATGGTGACAGACTGAGACTCTGTCTCAAAAAAAAAAAAAGGACAGTGAGATTGCTCATGATTTTATAATAAACATCAACTTATTTTTTCCAAACTCTTATCTATGTTCTTTATGACAAACTGCTTACCAGTTTTGCTTCAAGTCCAAATATCGAATGTTGACTCCTTCTTTAACAGCTTCATAGTTACTTTCAGATCCCTACATGAAAATATCAATAATGTAAGCTTCTTGAGTGTAGAAATCATTTCTTTTCACCTTTATATCCCTAGCACCTAGTGAAGTGCTTCATCCGTGATAGCTCAGTTGCTGAATGAAAATGTACATCTAAAAAAATCGCTAAGTAAACCAGTGCATTTCAATATTTCTAGAGACTGACTACCCCATTTCCATTTAATCTGATAACTATACACTTGTTTATTACACTGAAATGTGTTGAAATAAATAAAAGACTTAAGGGAACCAGCATTATCATACAACCATAAACGTGAATTACAGAGATGAGTACTATTGCTCCTTACCCAAATAGCATCGGTAATGTTTTCCTTCAGGGCTTTATTTATATCCCAACTATGCACATGCTTTTCCGAAGAATCATCTAATTCCCATTTACTGATGTTTGAACTTGTCAGGCTGTAAAAACTTGATTTCTCACTGTCCCAAAGAACACTTGAAAGCTATTCAGAGAAGAAAAAGAAGTCAAATTCACAGATTAAGTTCTAATGTTAAAGAACTATTGTTTTAAAACTCAAATTTCACGTATTTGATTAGTAATCCTAAAAGAATTCTTCATTCAGGACTTAAGACAGGGATTCTGGGCCAGGCGTGGTGTCTTAGCCCTGCAATCCTAGCACTTTGGGAGGCTGAGGCAGGCGAACTGCCTGAACTCAGGAGTTCAAGACCACCCTAGGCAACATAGTGAAACCCTGTCTCTACTAAAATACAAAAAATTAGCCATGCATGGTGGCACACGCCTGCAGTCCCAGCTACTCAGCTACTTGGGAGGCCTGAGGCAGAAGAATCACTTGAACCCAGAAGGCAGAGGTTGCAGTGAGCCGAGATCACACCATTGCACTCCAGCCAAGGTAGGGCAAGACTCTGTTTCCAAAAAAAAGTAATCCTGAAATACAGCTTGACAGCAAGGTTGGACTCTACAGGCAGAAGGCCCAGAAGGAGCAGAACTGAAAGGCGGGAAAGTTGTAGGGTCTTTAGAGAATAAGAAGTCATCCTGTTACATTGGAATATAGATGACAAGTCGAAAAGAAGCAAAAATAAGGATTCTTTGAAAAATAATAAGGCCAGGCGTGGTGGTTCATGCCTATAATTCCAACACCTTGGAAGCCCAAGGAGGGAGGATCATTTGAACTCAGGAGCTTGAGACCAGCCTGGGCAACATAGTGAGACCCTGTCATTAATTTTAAAAATAAATAAAAATAAAAAATAATGAAAAATTAGGGACATATAGCAGAGAGTGTCAAACGTGAATCTATAAGTGCAGCAAGCAAGGGAGATATCAATAGCTTCTGAACACAGAATTGTGTTTCAATGCATTTGACAGAATGTGTGTAGTCATATATAGGAGTGTTATTTTGCCTTTTCAGTATATACTTAATAATGAAGTATAGATATGTGCCTTTTTAAAGCTGGATATACGTGATTGTTTTGTGTTAAAACCCTAGTTGTCTCTATCTCTGTCATCATGATTATGGCCACTGATGGGGCAGAAAGGCCAACAGTAAGTAAACTGAGCAGGCACCAGGAGCTTAGGTGAAATGTATCAAGAGTATAGGTTAGGGCATAACATCAAAAGCCAAAATATGGGGACTGAAATGAGATTGGATAGAAGTTAAATCTTGCTGGGCACGGTGGCTCACACCTGTAATCCCAGCACTTTGGGAGGCTAAGGTGGGCGGATCATGAGGTCAAGAGATTGAGAACATCCTGGCCAACATAGTAAAATCCTGTTTCTACTAAAATACAAAAATCAACTGGGCATGGTGGCATGTGCCTGTAGTCCCAGCTACTCAGGAGGCTGAGCAGAAGAATCGCTTGAAACTGGGAGGCAAAGGCTGCAGTGAGCCAAGATTGCGTCACTGCACCCCGGCCTGGGTGATAAAGCGAGCGAGGCTCCATCTCAAAAAAAAAAAAAAAAAAAAAAAGAAGTTGTTAACTAGCTTGCTATAGAAGTAGAGGAAGACACAAAAAATAACAAGGTTTTATAGCTGGGTCACTGAGAAAAAGTGATAGTACTCTTAACAAAAACAGGTCAAAAAAGAAATGAGTTTTATAGGGTTGAGTAGTCAGTAGGAGGGATGAAAGAATAAAATAAATTTGTTTTTACACATTAAGTTTAGGTTTAAGGAACATTCAAGGAAGCAAGTGATGATAGTTATTTGAAAGAAGAGGGAAACAGCACAGTAAAAAGAGCGTGTTCTTTAAATTCAGACAGGCCTGGGTATGATTCCCAGCTCTGCCACTCAGCAGTTACACACCTTCAGCCTCACTGAGGTGCTTCCTCATCTGTCAACTGGATGGAAAGCACTCTTTACAGGTTGTCACAATGATTACACAATATGGATGTAACAACTATGGAGCATCTAGCAGAGCGTAGATGGTGCATAACGTTAGTTCCCATCATGCTCCCTTCACTATGCTAGAGCATGGGGCAGAAGTCCAGCCAACAGATCCAGACTCCAGTCATCCACACAGACAGCTGGAGTCATGGGAGTAGAGACATGCTTCTGGTCAAATTTTGAAAGTCAAATTAATCTTCAAGAAACACATTTTAAATTTTACATAATAGTTTTAGTTCAAAAAAATGTACTTGTGAGATCATCTGTCTGATTTAAAGATATTAATGTTACAAGTTATGGGAGAAAGTTAGTATGAACTCATTTGATCATAGTAAAAATAGGTCACTAAAAAGATCAAAGGTTTTATTTCCCGATATTTTCAACTTATTGATTTAACTAAGAAATAAGCTTGTAAAACAGTTACTTTATAAACTTACTGTGAGATCACTACTAGGAGATAAAATTCCAAAAAGAGAAGAAACTCTTCGACCAATTCCTGAAAGCATGCCTTGCCCTTGAGGCAGGATATGCTGATTAATCTTTCCTGAGCTCTCAGGTATCAATCGAATTAGTTGGCTTCCTGATGAGGACAAAATAAAACTTCCTCCCTGTGAAAAAATATTATGAGATTAGTTCAGTTAAGCATCTAACGCTAAGATAAAGAAAACTAACAAAAAATGCTTTGATACAGAGAAAAATTACCATAATTGAAATAAATCTAAAAGAATACAAAATAGAACATTGTTATTTTGTTAAAGTTATACATTTCAGAATCCATTCAGTTAATATTATTAATTCTACATAGAAAAACTTTCATAAGAGAAAAGAAAAACTGGCCAGGTGTGGTGACTCA